ACTATTTTAGACAACTTTAGACAAAATCAATGGCCAGTTATTTTTCAAAGTTAGTTATAAATTATGGTGTATTGTTGCTCTTGCGTGCTGCCTCAACATAAAATGTAGGTCGTTTTTTAAATCGATCGGTAGTAAATCGAAGTAAACGTGCACTGATATATCATAAGCGTATAAATAGCTAGTCAATGCATAAGCAAATTTTGAGCTTTCTCGAAATTTAGAGCGAAACTGTTCAAAGGAATATACTTACAGACTTTTCGTAGCTTTCTCAAAGAGGAATTTAATATTTTAGCAAGTTAACTTTCTGGCGAAACTGAATCAAAGACAAGTTTCTACTAGTCTTTTAGTGAGTAATAGAGAATGTTGAACAAAAATTGAAGCACTCGTATATAAACGTTTTTGTTCATGAGGAAGCTCCAATGAACTTCTCTGAGAACTCTATCAACGGACCTTGCTGTATACCTTTTCCTCACAACTTTTTCACTAAATAGTGATGAATTATAAACCAATAGGCTTACTTTTATAGTCTCGATTATGGGATAGACGACACATGTATTCAAGTATTAAGAAAATGTTCATTACTTACTTTCACATTAGTAGTCTATACGTGCGTATCTTTATTATTATCATCATTAATTTTCGGTCTTGTTAGTTGTTGCCACGAGCAGCTCCTGTCGTGGTTCGTTTTTTGCTATTTGTCTCGTATGTGTCCGACACAGTTCGCATACAGATTCAATGTACAAGCTTGGTGCGTTTATATTTACAAATATGTGACTATAAAATCGATTCCAGCAATGCAGAATTAGCGAAGATCAGCTGCGGCTGCAAGAGTAGACGCCGGGTAGAGCAATGCTGATTCTGAATCACTTGCGCACGCTATAGTACTGATAGACACAATCTACCATGCAAGCAGGTCGACGACGTCACGTTAATGCGGAAGATGGACTTCTACATCGCTATGGCATCGCTGATCGGATGCTGCCTCAAAACCTGGGGCGCTTCAGGGGGGCATTTCCGGTCAACACAAAATAAACAAATAGGCAAACAGGCCGTAATGTAGAAGGGTCAGTCGTCGACGAACGAAAATAAGCTGCAAACCATCACTGAAATTTAAATGAAGCTAGAATTAGTACGAAGCATACCGATGTTATCGGTGTGCTAAGTTCAAGTTACTATTGGATGGTTCTAGGAACTTCTTGGCCTTCAGTTTAGCTCTAATTTCATATAGTTGCTCTAATTAAAATCTGTCAGTAGTCACACGACATGTTGGACAAACGACGTTACCTCTTGGAATTGCGTCATAGCAGTCGCTGAGGCAAGCCGCTAGCTAAATGGTAAAACGCAGAGAGATTTTGCTTGTTCTGAAAACCACTGAGATCTGCGTCTATTGTTTTTTTTTTACATGTCTATTATAATCATTACCAAATGTTCCTCGCGTAGCTTGCCTCGCGACGCAGTTGCTATCGGAAGCAATTGGTTTCCATTTTATATTTATGAACATACTTCCTTTTCGAACCTTCGATGGACACCTAACCAAAACAAATCGAAAGTCACTTCAATTCTACAACAGCATCGACGGGACTGTTTTTCAGCAGGCCGTTAGTAATACCCGAAACAAAATAGTTCTAAAGATTAAAGTCAAAGTATAGGCTGTACGGTTAGACGCTCGAAGAGCCAATAATGCGTAAGCACTGTTATGAAGGCCAAATAAAGTTCAATTAAGGTAAGAAAGAGATCGTATCGAAGCTGTAGGCGAATAAAGTGATTTTGATACTCATTCAAGTGAGAAATACGACTTCAAACGCTATTCGAGGTCTTTAGATTCAAGTTATTCATCTCATCTAACTATACGGTTTAGGGTATCGAGCGTATTTGAATCGACGCCTTATAAAACGCACATAAAAAATGAAAACGCTGTGCGCGGAACATTGAACTTGAACGGACACCTTTGAAACCTATCTTGGAACAATTTTGTCACTTTCTAAACACTCTACACAGATATAATTCGAACATCTTGTTCTTATCGTAGTACGATTGCTTCATAGTAGCCTTGTTTTTCAACCAATAGGTTCCCTAGCCAAAGTCTCAGAGCGTTTTCCATTACGTTGGACCAGTAGTACCGAAAATGAGAACTCTCTTTTAGATTAGTCTATGTAAATTTTAGATTAGTCTATATAAATTTTAGATTAGTCTATATAAATTTTAGATTAGTCTATATAAATTACTGAATCCAGTTTGCTGTTCTTGCCTTTAAGCCCAATTCAATTCGCTACCGATATGGAGCGTCCTATGAAGGATTAGATAGAGGGAAGTATGTCTACGGCGACTAAAGACAAACAAAGAAAACCCATGTTTTACCACGACGACCAAGGGCCTACTAGGAGGAACTATGAGTAGACCACGTATATTCTAAAAGATGTCACATGCAATATCGGCTATTAACAGATAAAGAGTTTACATTAATATGATTTTTCGGTGCATTAAGTAAATGAAGTTACCGCAGGACGCTACCTGATTACCCCATTATTTATGTGATGAGACTACGGTTTGCGGTACTTAACGGCTATAAAAGAACGTAGGGCTTAAAATACTTATTTTTTGTTCGATGTAACCGCCCATAGTTAACAAACAAGGTACCGATGGTATCAGTTTAGAAAATATAATAAGTAACTGCTACAACTATTCTTGGAATATTATTATGACGGCGGCATTACTCTATTGATAAATAAAGCACAATGACTATAACATATTATATAACAGAAGTAATTAAGCTTCCGTCGCATAGACCTACAATTCCTTTTTTTGTCTGATCCATTATACTAATGTAAAACTTATCTCGTAGATGGAGTAAGTAACAAAAGTATCTGATACAACACCAGCACGCACAACTACTTAAATGTATTTAATGGCCTACGGTAACTTGATATAGATAGAGGTACGATTCTATAGGATTGTGTACATATATATATATATATATATATATATATATATATATATATATATATATATACACAAAAAAAAGCGAGAAGCGAAGCACCGCGAGCTGACTCGCACTATCATCTATAAGGAAAGACGTAGATACAATAACACAATTACGAGCATTTAAAAAACATTATCCTTAGATAATTTTAACTGTTGATGGTTAAATAGAAGTTAGAGTTTAAAAATTAAATAATCATTTTCATTTACTTGTACGTTGTTTTTCATTATACAAATGTATTTCTTCTTGATATCTTAATTATCTAGTGCTTATATATGTATACGTGCAGAACGAACGCTTCGAGTGGGCCTATTGGTAGCAATAACGGTGCTTCCCTACAGAGTTCACTCGTCATTGCCTGCCTTCGTGATGGTTTATGTAGGAGTTAATTTCTAACTTGAACTTCTTGTACAGTGTAATTAACTGCTAAAATGAAACTGCTTTGTAAATCAAGATAAGTTGCTTACGGCTTTCACCACACATCTGTGATGTGGATTTATCTATTAAAATAGGTTCCGGTCACTACGTTATGGTTGGCTTTAAAAGATATTTATGCGCCTATACAGACAACGTCAAACACATCTGGAACCCAGATAATATGGATTAATTATCCTTCTTTTAATTTTAGCACAACTGGCACGAAATGAATTTCTTCGACGTAAAATTGGGTTCTTCAAGAGAAAAAAAAAGTTTTTGCGCTTTAGGCGAGAGGCTTAGACAAGAAATTCCACTAGCATGAAAAAAACAGTTACCATTTAACCGCTTAGTAAAAGTAACGGTTCTTTATATAAAGCTGGTTTGCAAAATGCAAAGTTTGTGGCAAGAATGACAGTGCGCATAGTTTTTTAAATATCTTTTTGAATAACGTCGTTGTTTATTAAGAATACAAATATTATATAGGAATTAAGAATTTTCTAGCACGCTATCACCAGCACGGCTTACACCAGTTCTACAAATATATAGAAGACGACATTTAGCATCCTTTTTTTGCGTATAAGGTTTGTTGAATTAAGAACAAACGTGTCTGCACAAAGGTTTGGCACGCCACCGACATTCACGATGTTTGAAACTATTCGTTGACGAAAACATCAATCACGAAGATAAATCGGACAGGCCTTCTTGAAAACTTCATGTTTTATTTTTGGACAGTCAAAAAGCCTACCGGGCAAGTTTTTGGCAGTTATACTACTCTATTTTATAACGTTCATAACGGAGCGTTTTCAGTTTAAACTTCGTTATTGATAAAAATTGCCATAGAAGTTTTCTTTGGAGTTGTTTGCTATCGAAAGGACCCTGGCGGCTGGAAACAACGGCTGTTAAGTATAGGCAAGCTAGGAAACACGTCAAGTTGGCAATTGGCTATTATAATTGTCATAATATTAATAATAAATTTATTAAGTGTAACAGCTACTCATTGATGAGTGGGAAGCAGATTTCAATTACATCAGTCATCTGTTTTCCCGTTCGCGCAGAAGTACTCACCGCGCGGTGCCTACGAATTCGACCAAGTGTCAGCCCGGTGGAGTCAGCTGACCGGCACCACTCTGCATGCTCTATAAGGCACTAATACCTCTTGCCAGCACACGGCGAGAAGGAACCTCGTAGGAAAGTGACCCTATTCTACGCTGTGCAGGCCCACAGGTATTCCGCTTTTCACTAGCTTTATACAACGCGATCAGCGACCTACCTGCATAGAGAAACATCGTTTTCAACGATAATACGCTAATATGCTTTAATTATTTTATTGACGTGCTATTCAAAAACCCTAGAGACTAAAAAGCCTTCCGGCTCAAACTCGTGCTACCGTTCACACAGCGGCTACAGTGTAACTGTGGCCCCATAGAGATTAGTAATGGATTGGGTGCGTTCGCGCGTGCTTGCCTCCGTAGGACATGGCTGAGCAGACGACAGGATGATGCCCTTACCCAGCCAGTGTGTGGCAGGCCTTTCTCCTCGTTCGAGTCACCACCATTGGCTCTCACTCTGTCAGACGGTTCGGCGCGCCAGTTGCGCCTGTGACAGGCTGATTCGACGGCGGCGTCTAGCTGCCCTTTGTGTATTTGTGAGTGCTAGTTTTACCTGTTCCCCTTTCGCTGAACGTGGTGGAATTGCCTGTCGCAAGGTTTGACCACAAGAGACATCGTCACAGGCCGACATTCAGACAAATGGGAAAAGTACGGCCATAGAAAGATAAAACACTGGTGCCGCGGAGTCTTCCCTCCCTCACACACGCTCCTTCAACAGTCGGAGGAGAAGCAGCCGGAGAAGGGAAAAATAAAACAGCCTGTCCGATCGCTCGTGAGTTTCGACATATTAGTTGAGGGTTCTAGCTGCTACACATAGCTATACGGGTAATAGTTGTGCAATTGCTAGCAACTACGGTCATCTTCAGCAAAGAAAGCGGCACCTGGCGGTACAGGCAAAGAAACCTTCTAAACTCGTTCAGCAAGAGTAACCCTGCAAGCGAGAAGTCAACATCGAGAAAAAAAAAAGCGACTAGGTGCTTACCGAAGCCGCCGGTATAATATAACCGGTCAGATCTTCCTTCAGTAAAGGACAAACGAGACAGAGTAGCTCCAGGCAGGAAACATGAATTCGCGGAAGGGCTTGACGCCTGGAGCACATCGGGGCAAAATAATCGGTGTATTCACATCCGGCGGAGATTCTCAAGGTAAGCCACCCATTTGTAATTCAGTGCTAATGATGCGTGATGCTTGCTAAACACCTATTGATATATAGTTAGATGGTACAAACAGCAAGATTGCTGCGCCTTGTATAACGATTCATATCGGGCGCGTCTGCTGATATCTTATCACAAATTCTTAGGTAAATTTCGATCCTATCACAAGTAATTTGCCTTGATCTCTCGAGTCGGTGTGCCTTTGAACTATCTAGAGATCTTGCATCAGATACTAAGTGTTATTACGTCAGATACATATAATTATTTTCTTATAATGCTGGTGGAAAGGTTCCCAGAACTGAGACGACGAATTACTCTAACGTCGAACAATTCGAGAGTAGCACATTTGAGTGAAGCGTTAATTATTCATTTGTAGCATAGACATCAAACAGGGGTTAAAGTATTCATCAGTTAAGAGCATATGGTTCGATAGCGTACCAATTCGATAAGACAATAACAAAACAAACTAGCTCCTGGAATTGCTAGAATATTGAGTAATTTTTCGGGCCGCTGAATGAGGCCCTTTTTCAAGGTCAATCGAATGTCTTTCGGAAAAACACGCCACTAGTAACCCATGAAGTCAGATGTCATAGCAGCTACATTTACCGATATCAACACATACGAAAAAGCTTACGCATAAAGCATCTCACGTTCGAAATTAAGATTATGCATGTTTTTATAATATTAGACAACTATAGCGGTCTGTAAACGCTGTACGTGTTTGTATGAAACAGAATCTTCAGCGAGTTTATATTATATAAAGCCGGTAACTTAATCCATTATTAATTCACGACACCCATGGGATCAAGTGGTTATTCTGAACCTTGTTACCTTCATTCCCATCCTTCCATCTTTGAGTTAGAAGACCTATTGGTTGCTTGTTGTATTGACGTTCTGGCGGAAGTCAAGTGGGCGATAAAACGGTGAAAAAGTTTAGCAGTGACTTCTAAACTTACCGTTGAAACGGGACGTCACAAAACTGTAACCTTGCCCCCTCTGTTCGAACGCGGGCTCTTTCTCGGTCAGGCTCGGCAATACTGTGATAGGGCTAAAATTATTACAGTTAGAAATTCAAGGCCAAGCTGGATGATCGGCCCTATTGGACCGTTTGTCGTATTGATATCCGACTCCCGGTTCAAACTATCGCATAAACTTAGTCAGTAGAACACAAGTTGATCAATAACTGTTGCAGGAAGCTCGGAAGAAGAAGGTTGCTGTTCAGACACTGACAAAACTTTTCATAATGAACTCTACTTTCAACTATCCTAGAATAAATCTTAAGACAACAATCTCCAGGCATGTATGAATTAGTGATGTAATTTACTGACCGAAACAGTCTAGCGTCCGTCATCAGATGTCCGATTCGTTGCCTGCAGCACCTATTAGTACTATCATAACTACATTAGGGCAGCCTAGTGTAAATTACTGCTACAGTTTCCTCTGATCATCGCCTTCTTATTTCTATATCATTCGGACAGTTGGGCCCGTTTTTTTTGACTTCTTGTTTGGTTTCCGATTAGTTAAAAGTTAACTCAAATAGAACCTTTATTTTTGTCTGAATCCTTTCTTGAAACTTTTCTTTCATTTGAAGTATTTCTAATATTTGTTTAGTTAGTAGAAACGTAGCAGGTAGAAAAGACAAGCTGTAGATTTCGTAATGGAGTAGATAGTTTTGCAAAGTAGTGGTCATTTTAATTAGGAGTATCTGCGCTGATTAAGTAAACCTCGAACATGGAGAAACATTAAACCTACCTACCTACCTACCAATACTGCTACCTAGAACCACCTCTAACGCCTGTAACGGCTGACTTCGAAGTGACATACGATCGCTTCCAGATTAGCAATCACAATCAGTGAAGACGGAGTGTATTTGTAATGGCGCTATTTTTCCGTCGCCGCCTCCACGAAATATTCATTGTGACGTTACAGGTTTCATGTTTTATAACCGTTTGATCAAAGGCAGGGATGAGCCATATATTTTACGTGTTAGCATTTATCATGTCTGCCAATTAGACGATAACAGAATCACAGTTTTCCCTTCAGTGTTTCGGATACCGTATATCGATTCGAATGCTCAACTTACAACGGAACAAGTAAGGTTCTGACCCCCCCCCCCTCGATACGTCTAATTTGTGCTCTGTCGCATGGCGCGTGCTATATAAGACAGTAATTTCAAATGTTTTTGCATTGCCAAGATACGACAAATAGAACAACAACGGTACCAGCACTTGATGCATACAGAATGAAGTCTCTATAAAGAAGAGAAAACGTAAAGCATGCAAACAGTGCAACTTCCTATCTCTGCGGTTAATTCTGCGGAGCAATTTATTGACTCGCATTCATTCATTCATTCATTCTATTCTATCTGTTCGTACCTTATCTTGCTTGTGGTCCTATTCCGGACAGTAGCCATCGATTTCAGGAAGAAAGCATTTCTAAACCTGCGAAAGTAAAGGCAGCTTCTTGGTGCAACCTACCCACCCTTTATATCTATTACCGTACTAGCTTCTTTCATGCTGAACAAATAACGGTATGCCGTCACCACAAGCTTCAAGGGCAAACAAATTATTCCAGAGAACAACGACTGTACTGTTATAGTGGTTGTTCGCGTTATTATTGCTTTAGATCGCATTGGGATCAGCCTGGAAAGATTTCGTTTGTGATTTCCGCAGGGCAAATGATTGTTATCTCACCCTTTATCAACCCACCAACATAGGCCACTGGGCGTTGTTTTATTTATCTGTTAGTCACCCATGTGGTCATTCCTGCACTAACTATTATAACGTTTCATGATATGTGCCCTGTTTGTATTGTCAGTTACGTACATGAAGCGTAAAATAGTGGACACTTTTTCATGGGCATGGTTGTTTCATTTTCAATCGAAAAATACACAGCTGTTACCGATGACCTTCTACCATTTAGATAGTAACCTATTTATCCTACCGCTGGGCCTATAGTCTCGAAAAGTAATTTCAATATCACGCTTGTTTCTGAACGGCTCTTCTACTCACTCGTTACTGAAATTTAACTCTTGCACCATTCCTTGTGGTGTGATGTCAAACGCTGGCCTAGGTACATTCATTAATCTTGGCAACGGAGTTTACCATAGCCTCTACCGTGAGTCAGAAACACCATAATCTGTTAGGTGTATTAGGGTGGTCTCTCGCCAGTTCGGTTTCATCAATCCACTGATGTAACCGTCTAGAAACATCATAAACGCTCGATGTCCCATCAAAAAAAACAAAGATTGATGCAACAATGAGATTATTTCGACGTTTTTGCTTTCAATTTTCTTTCAAATCATATGTATAATTTAACTGTATTTGATGAACAAATACCGTATTTTTGTATACAACAAACGTGAATGTTAAGATCCAAAATCCACATTTATCTGTTGGTCACCTTCGCAATGGGTCAAACAGAAAGTTCATTTCCATGTCCGTTCCATGTTCCACGTCCTCAAGTAATAAGTTTTTCTCTGTTCTCTGAACACAAGGTGCAAATAGCGAACTGTTCTCGTCCCTATAGTTTCAAAATGGCTAACCTAATATAGCGGATTCATATATATAACTAATCACAGCTTTTCAGAATGCAGATACGCTATCGTTTCTTTCTCGCATCCTCGCTACTGGATCAAAAAAGTACCGATAGACACCGGCTATTGTCTGCTAAAGATGTACTCGTACGCGGGCCTGCGGCTTCCCATTCGCCACACCTGTGTGCTACCCGCTTTGTATTTTCTAAGCACCTTCGCGTGGGTATTTCACGAAGAGTCAGTATACTAGGAGAATGTACAGCTTCGTGCTCGGACAACAGAGGAAAAATTTTACACCTGGGCGCCTAGTCACAACGACTACGGAGAAAAACGTAACAAATGCGCAATAACTATGCTGGAAGAACCAAACAAAAGTTTACATGAGTCGCATTGGACCATCTTGAAAAACGGTATAGAGACGAAAGGGCTCACACGAAAAGCCTGAATTTAGAGCAAATGTAGACTTGTCAACACATTCCATCGGGCAACATTGCCAAAACTCGAAAAATTCGAATTTCCTCAAATGCTTCATTGCAAATGACGTCACGGTCCATGGGTATTACGTGAAGAAAATCGCTCAATTATCGCTTCAAAGGCAACTGAAAAATGCTGCAGGATCGAAAAACTAACCCCTTTTTTTATAATCTTTTTGGCTATGGGAAAGCTGTACGTTATAAACTTTTACTGAGTGGCTTTATACTTTAGTAAAATCTCGGATAATGCTACCTGCGAAGTAGATCTACGTTTTAGAAGAACAAGTCGTGGATTCCAATCCGTAATTATAGACGGACTGATACAGCGCTATAAATGTCACGTTTTTTTAATAGAAAAAATACAGCTTACATAGCATTTTCTGTTTCCGAAGCTCAGTAAACACCTAAAAGAAAAAAGTTGATCATCGAAGGAATTCAGAAAAAGAAAAAGGGGATATAAACAATTCCTTCAACGAACCGTTGTAAGGATTAGAAGAAGCGATGGCGGAGACGCGTTAAATCTGGAGGGGCTTATTTCTATAGGGACAACAAGAATTTGAACGACTGGAAAATCTGCAGTTAATACAAAACGGTTTCCATTACTTTTTGGCATAGTACCATTTACAACGGCAAGGGGAGAGGAGTTACGGGCTGTTGCGTGTACCATAACTCTTTTAAGCTAACGAGGTTCGAAATGTCACATGGAAGCTTTCACATGGAAGGTTTGATCTTCATTTGAGTGCTTAAAGTCTAGTCGCGAACTGATCAAGTCAGTAATTCTATAAAAGCAAAGACGTCGAAAAATGGATTAATGTACCATAAATATGTTACTTTAGCTTATTGCTTTGAATGGTACGTCAATCACTTCGGTATATTTTACTCGTGTTGTCGGAAACGCTATATAACTATCATTGTTGCAATGTTTTCTTTTTTACGGTTCGTAAAGGTATGAATGCCGCGGTTCGCGCTGTGGTCCGAATGGGCCTGTACCTTGGCGCAAGGGTATTCTTCATTCGCGAGGGCTATCAAGGAATGGTAAACGGAGGCAACATGATCGAAGAAGCTACTTGGGTATCCGTATCTGGCATCATCCATAAAGGTTAGTTATTCCTTTTCTGTTCTGGCTTCGTCTTTTAGAGTCCTCTTCATTGGACTATCACGGATAGTTAAGTACATCCCGGTGATTATTCTACATTGATTGTTGTAGGAAAGCACCAACCTGGCTAGCATACTGTAACCAGTGGCGTTTAATTTAATAAAACAGGATACACTTGACTATGAAAAAGCACTTGTGTTGGTATTAATAAAAACATGCATGCGTGTACACATAATTAAAAGTGGAGTAATATTAATATTTACGATATTAAAAGGGGCGCTTTTATTACTGAATATTCTGCGTATTGTGGTATTTGATAAGGTGGCACTATTATCGGATCTGCACGATGCGCAGAGTTTCGCGAGAGACAGGGCCGTATGCGGGCTGCCCTAAACCTTATTAAGCACGGCATCACGAATCTGGTGGTCATCGGAGGAGACGGTTCTTTGACTGGTGCCGATCTTTTCCGTCAAGAATGGACTTCATATCTCGATGAGTTTCTGAATGACGCGAAGATCACTGAGGAGGAGCGTCAAAAATGCTCACACCTGCACATTGTGGGCATGGTCGGTTCTATCGATAACGATTTCTGCGGAACTGACATGACTATCGGTAAACTGTTATTTCTCCACTCATGATGCTTAAGCTGGGGCTTCATGTGTGGGTTTCAGTTCGCAAGTTTATTCGTGCAATTCATTATATGCATTTCTTTTCAAATACGTTGAACGAAAAAAATCCGTATTAAGAGTTAACTAACATTTATTTTAACAAAGCCGACTAGCCCTAAAATAGAGCGTTGTTCGTCGTTTCTATTGTAGGTACGGATTCGGCCCTGCACCGGATCGTAGAAGCCGTGGACGCGATCGTAACGACAGCTTCCTCGCATCAACGAACCTTCATTCTTGAGGTGATGGGCCGTCATTGCGGCTACCTTGCTTTAGTTGCCGCCCTAGCGTCCGAGGCGGACTTCGTCTTTATTCCCGAATGGCCACCTGAAGGTAACTGGCAAGAAATCCTCTGCAAGAAGCTGATTCAGGAACGTGAAAGCGGCCAGCGGCTAAATATTATTATTGTTGCAGGTACGTACAGCGGGCTAGGACGACTGACTTCCAATTAGTAAAGGAGTAAGCAAATCGAGTAATTTGTAAACAGCCGAAAATACTAGAAAGGAAATGATAAAAAAGGAGAGGCCGAAATCGACAAAGTGGTATAACCCTTACGTTTGAGCTAACGTTACAAATGCTTTCCTGTTGCGTTTACCAGAGGGTGCCATGGATCGTGACGGTCAACCAATCACGGCAGAAAATGTTAAAAAGGTGGTGGTTGATAGGCTCCAGCAGGACACCCGAGTGACAGTGCTCGGCCACGTACAGAGGGGTGGATCCCCTTCTGCATTCGATCGAGTGCTTGGCTGCCGTATGGGAGCTGAAGCCGTAATGGCGCTGTTCGAGGCAACGCCAGACTCTGAAGCCTACGTTGTATCACTTGCGGGAAATCAATCAGTCCGGGTACCGCTTATGCAATGTGTCCAGAAAACGAAGGAAGTTGGAAAGTGTATGGCCAACAAGGACTGGCAGAATGCTGTCAAATTGAGGGGCACTTCCTTCGAGCGAAATCTGCTCACGTACAAAATGCTAACCCGTCTTAAACCTCCCAAGATCGCTTCCGAAATCAAACAGGTGGGCTAAGAAATAATAAGACATAATAGGCTTGGCCATATTAGTCGGTGAATTACGATTATATTCTGCAGTGGCTATTCTTTATAGATTATATTGGCGATTATTGAAATTTTAAGGGGCTGAGATTGGCTGTGATGCATGTGGGGGCGCCATGCTGCGGCATGAACGCCGCTGTGCGGTCCTTCGTAAGGAACTGCCTCTTTAGAGGCGATACAGTGCTGGCCGTGCACGAGGGCGTCGAAGGTCTTCTAGAAGGGAACATCAAGGAAATGCAATGGCAAGATGTCAGTGGCTGGGTTGGACAGGGTGGAGCATTTCTAGGAACCAAACGTACACTGCCTGATAAGCACATGGACCAAATAGCAGCTAACATCAAGAAATTTAACATACAGGTTCGTATTGATAAGTCAATTCTAATAAATTGAAACTCTTTCTCTGATAATAAATATTCGCTTCTGAACCATTAAATTACAGTTAGAGGCAACATTTGAGCATCACATTCGCATCGCATGAAAGACATACAGGTTTAACATCGCCACCGAATTATGATATATAGTAATTTTTAACTGAATTTTAAACCTTTTAGGGCTTATTAATAGTTGGCGGCTTTGAGGGATACCAATGTGTACTGCAGATGGCGGAGGGTCGGAGCAAATATCCTGAACTATGCATACCCATGTGTGTGGTGCCAGCGACCATATCGAATAACGTTCCCGGAACTGATTTCTCACTTGGAGCAGATACTGCACTTAATGAAATAACGGAAATCTGCGATCGTATCCGTCAATCCGCTCAGGGCACCAAAAGAAGGGTACGTACCCGTATTATGTTAAATAGGCACGCTTTGGTTATGTCATTGACCTAGTATCATTGATTTAATTCGCTGATCTTACTTCTAGCTTAACCTAAACCACAAATCGAGCATAGAACAGCCATCTCGTTGCGGTTACTCTATCTTATCTAACACAGTACGCTCTCGCTATTGCATTATCAGCCGGTTCTAATATGAATTAATTTTATCTAGATTACTACATCTAGTCTAATACGGGCTGTGGCTTTCCGAGCTTTACAATTATTCGCTTTAATTCTCCTGAGATCTTGTAGCACTAACTACGTTCTTTATCGCTATCTCTTAATAGTAATTATATTCTTCAAATCTATTAGCAACATTTATTCCGTTTTTCCGTTACAATTTCTCGAATAGTCCTGCTGAAACAACATTCCTCGATTTTAAAATTGGCAATATAAACTCAAACAAATTTTATTACATTTGTAATTATATAATAGGTAACTTGATGAAATCAAGGTGTATAGCTTGATTTCGTCAAACCTTGCACCCATTCTTTTTATAGCTATTCGCGTTCTCCCATTAAAACGTTGTTGTAATCCTGATACGCTGTTGCACGCATCCATATTGTAACTTCCGTACCGCATTTAGTTGCTCACTTTGTAAAGCTCCGAGAAAACAAATAATTTCCCATAAATATTTTACAAATTCTCATTTATTGAGCGAATCGCCAAAAAAGTAATTGACTTGGAGGAACAAAATAACTCTGAATAGAGAATATTAATCTAATTGAAGAAATAAATCATCTGCCGAAATGGTTCATATTCCATTAGCGTCCCGTGGGAGAACAAAATTACTTCCAGAAAAACTGTTCATTTCATCTATGAATATGTTTATTTATAAACCATTTCGGGAGAGACCACCATTGCACGTAAAAATGAGAAAAAGCGAAAATTACATTGTGCCTATTATGCAGGATCACAACTTTCGATTATAAACGTTTCCCATATTTTCGAGATGGTCAAACAAGTCGCTAAAAAGATCCTTCCTTGAATCAGCATTATTTCTTGTGGAAGCAAAAATCTACCTCTTAAAACAAAATACTCGTTTAATCAAAAAGGAAAACTATGTTGAAATTGGAAAAAATATCCCAGGAAAAAGTATACATATATACTTGAAAAATATATAAATTACATGCCGCGATGATTGACGTTTCGCCAACTCTAAACTATTTGGGTAAAGATCAAGATCTTTTTATTTGATTTTTTTACTGATATTTTTTTATTTGATCGCTAAAGCAACAAAATACGAAATATAGACAGTTTGCCCTAAACCTTATCATTTGGGCCCGTTTTGTAGAATGTTTGCATAAAAGAACCAGCAAACTTTTCAAACATTAATTTTTCTTGGTGATGATTAATGCTTGTTGCACATATTGCTAAATATGAACGACTCGTCCAAACGAGATTTCTTTGAAAAAAGTATTCCTCCGATTAGGTTCATACCATTACAGTTCACTGCAGAATAAAACTCTGGCACCCCAAAGGAATAAGTTCAATATAACCATTTATGGGGTTGATTTGGGCCCGGCAGACATACACATGGACAGATAAATAGATAGATGCATTTAATAGTATAGTAGATAGGTTATTATTACTGTTCATAGAACAATTTGAATAAACGCATTGCTCTTGTTTTTTTTACTGAAGAAATCACGCTCTGAGGAACTCGTTTAGTAGATCTTTGAATGGTCGCATATAGTCATTTCAAGGGGATAGTTACAATCTCCTTGCATTCACTATGTGTACGAATGTGCGCGTATCTTCGTGCTTGTGTGAGTATTTCAGGTGTTTGTTGTTGAGACGATGGGCGGCTATTGCGGTTATCTAGCAACTCTGGCCGGCCTGGCCGGGGGAGCCGATGCAGCATACATTTACGAGGAAAAATTTGGCATTAAAGATCTCATGGGTGACGTCATTCATATGCAGGCTAAGATGTCCGAGGGCGTTTCTCGAGGCCTAATTTTGCGTAACGAAAATGCCAATCAAAATTACACAACAGACTTCATTTTTCGGCTTTACTCTGAGGAAGGCAAGAACATATTCACAACTCGCCAGAACATCCTCGGTCATATGCAGCAGGGAGGAAGCCCGTCTCCCTTTGATCGAAATTTTGGCACCAAAATGGCTTCCAAAGCAGCAAACTTTCTTATCGAGGCACTTAGCAAGGGACCTGCGTTCTGCAAGGTTAGAATATATAGCATCTTTATACCTAGAAACGCTATTTACGGGCTTGCTTCCACGAGGCCAGCTTTGATAGGGCTGAAATATGTTGGCTTGCGCAACTAGCTAAAAGAAGTTTAGCAGCGGTGTTAGGAAACCTATTGGATTACATCTCGACTAGCCAGCTTAAAGCCCAGTGGATAATATAATATATATATATATATATATATATAATACTAAGATAAACAGCTGAATAAACTCAACGTTGAAGGCAGGCCAAAAACCGATATTAATTATTGACAATAACTGAATCGCTTCTTACCTTCGTTGTGCCAAATAATAAGTCAGACGTTGCACTTAATATATTGTAGACTCAGGAATCGGCAGTTCTGCTTGGTCTGGTCCAGCGTCAATACAGATTTACGCCGGTTCAGGAATTGCAAAAGGACACCGATTTCAAGTAAGTATAAAATCATTTTCATAGAATTTTTTTCCAGTGTTTTCAAGTAACATTACGCGTTGTTGTTTTTACTTGTTTTTTCAATAACATATCTCTTAGTTATAAATTTCTGATGATACACTTATTTTATTCTTTTCTATCCACTGTTTTTGCTTTCTCATCCTCTATCCTTATATGTCCTGAACCTCGCTAACCATGCACGGCTAACTTTTTAGTATGAATTTAAAAAACACTTGAAAAAATTTGATCCATATACAATTCAGTTCAGAATATAACCATACATCCAGTCAAACCTATTTTGATTTATTGCGGTGAATGTTAATTGTTGTTATTTTTGATGATTTCCTTATTGGTCTAGTACCTAAGGTAGCGTGTGGCTTTTCATATGACTCAACTTAGGTCTCGGCCTGGCATGGTGTGATAGATGTCACTCTTTTATTTGCGACCCCGGTGCCCCAGTTACGAGAGCAACAAACTATTTTATTAGTTCCAGCTGGATCCGCTGTGCGTGTTTGCAGTCGCCAGCTGGCGAAGTAGACCCTGATAGCCTGCAGCAGTCATCCATGTATTCAGTTATATTTGAAAAGATGTGCCCGATTCAGATTAGTACGCTAAGAGTTTATACGCCAAGAACGCATCCGATAGAGATGCACAAAGCATGCTTTGCGCCAATCAAGTGCACGACAGAAGTGAGGCTTGAATGTTCGTTTTGCTCGAATAAATTGTTCGACGACAGTGAAAGCCGTTTACGACGAATAAGTCCTTGCGTCCTAAACTACCAAAAAGCACGTACAAAGCTAAAACAAAGCACAGAGACTAATATATAGTTTCACCATGAACTTCTTTCGAAACTTTCCCACTACGCAGAACCCGACTACCGCGCGAACAGTGGTGGCTCTGTCTGCGGCCGGTTCTCTACACCTTGGCTACATCAGTAAAGTACTTGGAGAAGTCCGCTGATGAACGTAAACGGGCGGCTCTGTGTGTAAGCCAGTCAATCGCCGAAGATATCGCCGAGGCTTTATGTGATGAATCGTGAATGGTGTGCGAAAATGATCAGGACTATACGTCTATGTTTTGGCCTTCGAAAATTTTGGCCACATGTATCAGGGCTTTATGATGTTTACTAGTCATTTTATTCAAAGGATGTTAACATATTTATTAGAATTCAGAGTTCCCTGTTATCTCGTTTAAATTTTACTTTAGCTTTATTTAGAGATAAAGCTGGCGATACGTACTGCTTTTTGTCGGTTATTGGATTATCACTGGGTTGCTTTAACTTCATTTAGTACACAGTCAGATTGGCAAAAGGTCATGGCATAAGTACAACTTATTAACATTTTATCCTGCTCCACTTACAATACATGCTCTTGAGTATGAAACTATTGTCGAATTGTAAGATAAAAAATATGATATAAATCGTGATTCGCGGATGATCACGAATCTTATCGCGCAAATATGCAAGCCGAATTTGCAGAAGAAGTTCAACCCATCTGCATAAAATTTCTTATGGACACCCAGATATTGCCACGGAGGAGGACAACTTTACGTGTTATCACACCTTTGTGTCCGCCACGGTTCTGCGACGGCGGAATGGTACTGCACTAAGTAAAACGTATGGATAGTACCTTGTGCGCACACGTAGACCGGCATGCTGTCATGTCTTACGTGGACTAAAATAATACGTAGTACGTAGAAAAACATGCAAGCATTATATATATGCTGTTCTCCGAAGGAACTTTGGAATATAGAAATTTCAGGTTGCATAATTTACATTAGTTCACGTGCATAAATATGTAAGAATCAGATGACGATTCAAAATAATTACCGTTATACTCTTGTAACAACGCTTGTTGAAGGTCGCGTGCAAATGCTCTTCATGCACTCCGAAACAAGCAACCGAAGCATCATCTTTCTACTCAAAGCCTGTAAGGTCTATCTCTAAGTCAGGTGTAAAATTTTTGAGCAGTCAGCAAGCGCGCATACATCAAATATCACATTAAAAGGAGGAAAACACATGACCATTTTCGAAATACCACACGCTACATCGATTCGTATGTACAAAATATACCCAAAAAGGATCATACACGCTAAAATGAAACCTTGATGTTAAGGTTATTACAACGACCCGAATACGACGATAATAGATGCGATACCACGGAAAAAAGAGCATCGCTGTTGCAGAAGAAAAGACTAGAACAGAAGCTCTAACGCTGCTCAATCCTAGTGACTAATGACCTAGTCGAAGCGGCGAATATGTAGCTCAATCAGATTGTGAATGCCGAAATCATCTGTCAAATGGCCAAACAATAAATTAGCCGACATCTCTGAGTTAAATCAACGCGTCTGTCTTATGTTGAGCATCAATCGTCGTAAGAATATGTAGCTAGATGCTTTCCGTACTTTCGCAGAACATATGATCTCTATTTATCTGTCTATCCATCTTAGAAGCATCCGGAAAGCAACAGCTCTACAGCCTCTTCTGGCAGCCTGCTGCATTTATCAAACCAGGTACAACATAATCTTTCGCATAACTGATGTCCCCTGATTTCAGAATTAATGAAGTCTGATTGACTGTGAAATAGTTTCAGTTCAAAAGTTATAATAAAGCTGACTCTGACTCGCGGGGCACAATAAAATCGCTAACAGTATTCATTGATGCCTCAAGTTTAATTATGAAATGGATGTGTGGTGCCTACACATAATACGTATGAGCTAGCAATAATGACCATTATTTATTATTGAAAACATTAGCAAACGGCTTAGTATTATTTTAGTAAACGTAGCCTGCGTACCACTGAAAAAAATCACTATACATTCAGGCTCAGGCCATACCTGATTCTCTGATTTCCATGATTCTCTGCGAACTGTTTAGCTGTAAGCCTTAGCTTCTGTTGTCGTAAGGTTCCATTTCAGGTTAATGCTCTACACGTCACAAATTATATCAACCTAGACGTCAAAAATTTTGTGGCTTTAAATGCAATAACAGTACAGAGAAAAGGGTGGTAAACAGTGGAAGCGAGGCTACTAGTTGCAACGTTCGAAAAACATTGATGATTTCTACACATTTTATAGATGAAATGAGGCAATTGGTGAAACTGTACTTCGCCCCTGTTATGCTGATCGCCTGAAATAACACTGATTTGAAAAAATAATTTGTTAATTATTACAGAGCGCGTGTATCTCGAATTTCGCCGTGGTGGATGGCGCTTCGTCCGTTGAATCGAATGCTTGCTCACCATTGCGTCGACGCCTGGAAACCTGAGTTAGCTTCGATTGCCAACCTTCACGAAGTCATTCGTACTGAAAGCTTGTAGAAATGTACTACAACTGTTACTAGATTGACATCAGGCCTGACTTGCATAAAAACTGTGGCATGCTACAATAAATTAATATTAGAAAAATCGGTTGCTGTTAAAGCTGTTTTCCATTTTAAGCCGATTCTAAACGAATGAAATATAAATGCAAGCAACAACGCTCGTCTTGTAGAATCAACGCCAGATCAACCTGCTTTACAAAATTTTTAGCCTGTGTGCTAACATGACGATATTACGACGAAGTGTTTGAGACTTCCCGTAATACCGTAAGGTCTAGGTATCATCATAATAAAAGGTTAGAAGAGTTAGACAGGAAGCTGCTGTTGTTGTTGTTTTCTTGAAATTATAACTAGTTTGTTTCTTTATTAATAATGCTTTAGCGGTCTCAAAAAGAACTAAAAAAAAAAACAGGAATTAATTGTAAAGTTACCTGTAGCCCTAAATATATGACAACGTTTGCGATGCAGAATATATTCTGCTTTACTAAAACTTCTGTTGGCATGCAAAAATTTCTTGCTGTGATTTATCAAAATAATATGAAATAGGAAAACCGTGGAATCGTACGCATTGACCTGAACGAAATTGTATACAACATTATTTTCAACCAAAGGGACACCTTAGACGATTGCCTTCAATAGACGATAGAGAGGTTTCAATAAAAAACTACGAAAGCTAGGCTTGGTTTTTACATTGCGTAGCACCAATATAAATATAAAATACATTAATCGTATGATTTACCGTTCTCAGGAAAACTACAACGAAATTTATCTCGATAAGTACAAAATGGCGAAACTGATTTGGTGTCACATGAGTGATCTTGATTATCCAAAAAATATAATGGCTACAAACCGATGTGTTCAGACTGACGACCTCTTTTTGAGAGCTCCGAGTGCGTGTTTCTTCGTCTACTATTATAAAATCGTAAAGTTTTCCGGAATGTCAACATAAATCGTTATCTCTTCAATAAAAATCTGACAATGTATAAGATTAAATTGCCTCAAAAATCTGTGTTTAGTATGTTCAATGCCATCTATATAATTACCTATTGATATATACGTGCGTTTTATTTAAAATTAATATTGGTAGAATTCAGTTGTAAAAATCAGCAATGCGGCTACCCAGCAAAAATAACCTATTATATATAACAACATTTCTGCTAAGCACGCCTAACTTTAAATATTTCAGATGAATTCGTTTCGGTATGCGTTTTTACGTAACTCACCTTCGAATATCTCTGAAAATGCATGAACGAACAATTGGGAAATGGTACATTTCGTATTTTCACATGTACATGCAGAAAACAGCAGAGAAAAGAATCTAAGACACGAAATTACGGCGAAAAAGAAACCCAAACGTATTAAAAGATATCTTCCAGAATCAACTTATCTACAATGAACACTCCGCTGTTCTTATGTTTGTAATAAATTTAGTGAAGATCACAGTAGCTTCCAAATGTTTATTAGGAGCTGTATCACACATGTTTTTTTATGTTCGATCAATGATTAAAGTCGAATAACAGTATGCCAGTTTCATCAAGATCCATACTAATACGAAATTCTCAAACTGAAAGCCCAATCCCGAGTGGTCAGCTCCAAGTGTCTTCATGTACATAAATTTAGCTATTATAAAGCAGTAAGACAGCTGGAACACCTTGAGCTAAGTTTCTGGTGTGCAGACCTTGTTGCTAGTGGCATGCTTCAAGGGTCCGAATGGAAATCTGGTTATATTCGGGCTTCTATTGTTATCGGGTTATTGTCGATTTCATTAATCCGTAACAGCAGCAGTATCTGACTTAGCCACATTAAGGAGGGCAGTTTCGTGACCAAACATGATTTCAAATCGGTCACTTTGATCGTAAAATTGCTCATTTTCTCGTTTCAGCAGATCCTCCTCTCGGACGAAGTTACGAATCTGTGAAAGAAGTTCGGCACCCTCACCGGGCAATTGTAGACCAGACACATCCCGGAAAAGGGCTTTCGCTGCCGGCACGCCAGGAAGCCCCTGTTTGCGGAAAAACTCTGAAATGTTTGTGCAGTCACGGAGAAGAAATTCGAGAGCATGAGGATGAAACTGGTCCACAGCTTGGGATACATCGATAACCCAAACGTGGCCAAGGTGCCAAAGTAAATTATATTCGGACAGGTCAGCGTGTACCAGTTTACACGTACTATAAAGCCTTTTCAGTATGGTAAAGCATTGATACCAAGCTTCTCGAAGTTGGTCTCGATTGAGATGAGCGTCACGAAGCTTCGGAGCTGGCTTGCCTTCGCTTCCTATAAATGTCATTACGAGCACGTGTTTCTTGAGAATGATAGCCTGCGGACAGTTGATCCCGGCACGGTGAATTTTTTGTAGATTGTTTAACTCTTTTTCGGCCCACACATGAATAGTCTTCCGTGGGTTGAGCTTGCAACGGTCCTTGAATCGAAAGTCCTCTTTGATATAGTCCGAACGATTTTTGAATTCATTCAGGGTTGTTTTGAATACTTTTATCGCGCACTCTTCAGGAACGTTGAACTCCTCGTTAGATCCACCCCTTGCATGGAAGACGGTCGACTCTTTGCCGGTAGAAATACAGCCATTTACTTCGTCAAGTATCTGACGATTGATCAGTTTGTAAATGAGAAGCCGCGTATTTACGTCCATACTCTGTTCGACAGTAGCTTTTTCCTTCTTGTCATGGAGACGAGCAGCACGACGTTCCTCCATCTTCGAATGGACTGTAATTAAACGAAAATCATGCAGCGTTAAACCCAGAATGTTTTAGTTCTCAGCGCAGCCCCAGGTAGTCACTCCGTTGTCGAAAAAAACATTCAATACGTGAAACAGCCGGAAATTTTTCGTTTATTGCAACAGTGCTCCTAATCTACTATACTATTTATGTTTCTCTGGATTTTGTCGGATTCAAATTAGCTGGACTGATTTTTTTTGGGAAACTAATTTTTGTTTTAGGAAGATTTGCACGCAGAGGAGTGCCACTTACACAAGTTTTTTCCCGTAGCACACAATACCAATTCGGTTGATCGTAAACTGACAATATTGACTTCATAATACTTTATATTTGAAGACAACGCCGCAGAAGTGCTTACGCGGTACCATTAACATAATCTGCGTTGATAACTAATCAGTGTGAAACTTTATTGCGTGTATAAGTGTGCTTAACGTGTCTTGTATGACAAACTGTGTTCAAGCTATATTGTGGAAAAAGCTATCAGATTTGGTTGGAGCTCTAGCCGGCCGTCCAAACATTGTAACCGTGTAGCAGTTACCGTAAACCTATTATCAGATTGTATTGGTCTATCTATGTAATAGTCTAAAAAACGTCAATACAAAGGTTAAAGCGGTTAATATCCCGTAGATTTTCATTGATTTCGTGAGAGAAAGGTTCAGGACAAAGTGTCAAAAATTTTATGTAAATATCGGAACACAAAAGCGTCCGTATGCATAATATGCCCACCGAGACACATCAAGGCAATGTCACAGAAAGTAGCCAATAGTAAATCGATAGATTTACACGTATATTACAAATCGGCCAAAACCCGATTGAACTGATGTTCGTTCACGCCGAGAACGGATCCTCTTCACGTGCGTACCAAAAGCCAAGTCAATCAGCGAGTACTAAACAAGGCTTGTAATTATTTTATAGAGATGTACCAACATGCTACGAGCGAGGCATATCTATTGGCTAAGCCCTCTGTCGAACATTTCAAAACAGCCTGATGAAATAACTACAGAAACGTAGCAAGTTAAACGACTCTTAGTTAACTTATAATATACTTGAGCCACAGTCTTCGTTCGCCGAGGTGAACGAATTACTAATCAGACAAAACTATCAGTAATCTAATTATAGCCAAAAAAACTAGTAACCGAAGATCATCACTATGAATTGCACCTCTAAGGGAGTTATAAACGCTATTATTGAGCTTCATGTCGAAGCCGGAACCGTCCCCAGTGGCAATCGACGAAGTCAGTTCCATCACCTTACAAGCGTGTCGCCTGCCACACATTTCGGCATCGTGCTTCGTCTTCATAATACCGTCTTGGTTTCTTGAAAAACCACGGAACCCGATAGCTGGGTCCGTGCGCGCTTGTGTTGCAAAACGGTCCACGTCCTCGATCTCAGAGTCACTCGAACTATCTGTATCCGTATTGAATGAAAACAGTACATGCAGACACAGATGGAACAAATTAATTAGGCTAGCATTGTTTGATTCGCAAGCACTTCCAAGTGTTATACGATAATGCTCAAACTATCATTGCTAGTTGCAAAGGAACGTACAGAACATCTATAGACATTGATCATCCTACGTGCTTCACAGGTGCATTAATGCTGTACGGTGTGATGTTTAGCGTTTCGAGCCAGACGCATCCTCCTGCCGTTCTTGCAACCGCGATACAGATGGTGATGTATTATAATAATGTATTAAGGTCTATAAGGTGTCTATTAAGGTTAAAAAATAACGTCGCGAACAAAAAAGCTTACCTTCCTCGCCGATGGAATCACCGTTTTTGAGCTTCCGTGCATTCGAACCATCGCGATCGCTCCCCAATGAAATGCCTAGAACCTCGTGACGATTTTTTTCCACCTGTGCTTCATGATCAAATTGCTCCTGTAGCAACTTTGCCAAAAGGAGATCATCATCAGTATTAGGAACGACCGCAAGGCCTCCGGTGCCTGAGTCATCGGAAGTGTCAGAGCTACGGACTTGATTTTCAAATGGTATCATTGAAGCAGAGATTAAATTCTCACGCTGGAACTCGCGCGCCAGCTCCTCGCTCATCACATCTAAAGAGAAATTATATTAACAACGTCTTACAGTAATATATTATAAACACTCACAACATAAACAATATATTGTTCAGATCAACTTGACAGCCTATACCTGAGGATTTTATAGTGAGTGTTGAAATTGAAGAAGGTACACAGAAATGAGAACCGAGAAACAGAGCATATAAACCAAGGCAACTACTGTAACGGCATTAACCACTAGGTCATGGTATATCTTATGTATTACGAAGCGAGAATTTTTACTTAATCTTGATTAGCATATTGGGCAATTTAGGGTATTTTGCGCACCCGTGTAAATGTTTACAAATTACCTCTTCCATACACGGGAATTCGGCAACCTAATTAAAGGTCTAATTACTTTTTGAGCCCTTTGGTCCACTTTAATCATAGGGCAAAAAGAAACATTGCAAATCCTGTTTGAAGGGATCAAATCTGAGCTAAGAATTTTCAATAATCCATTGCATCTCATTTGTTGGGTGTAAAACGTCACTGCCTGATGCATAGGTAGCATCACAGGCCAAAAGTATGGGTGAGTATCCATATTTTAATCACAATTCGAATATATATGATTGCGTGAAGTTAAAGTGCGAGATTAAACACTCTGGTATTAGTGTATCTATTTACTGATATATCAGTAAGGTATATGGGACTAATTTCCAATGCATACATACTAAGCCATAACGGTTGTACCATAAACGAGAAAATATTATAGATAAAACTTTTTGCTTCAAGGAACTCGTTAAAGGTGGCAGGCGACGCGCCGCTGGCATGACTGTTAGTGCCCGGTTTTATCGCTGCCATTATCTACTACTAGGTCGTGGTTGTTTTGAGGGGCTTTCAGGATGACCGAGGTGGCATAACCGCGCTCGGGCAGAGCGTGACACACTTCTTAAGTCTGACTCGTTCTCGGAGAGTGTTGGAAAGTATAACTTTACCAAACTACCAAGAAGTTTTAAAAACATCTCTCTAGGTTACTTCATAGTGCACTACGACATCGGCTACATACATCATGTTTTCGACGATGATACATTATTACCATGTTGTAGGTAATTTATTGGTAAACTACGCATAATAATGTAGAAATGGCAGAAAACTGTCTATACGTTTATGCAACATAGATAAGCCAGAATTTAAGATGTACGTCAAAGAAAGCATTACTCCATGATGCGTTGCCGTGAAGTTAAAAACCAACGAAGTTTTCTTTTAATTTAAACTCTATTCCTTCGGAGTGAGTTCTAGCACAAAAACAGCTGATCACTGAGACAAGCGGTTACGAGCCGAGTGCAACAATGGCTAATCCAGAGTGATGCATTAAAACTAACACGTACGCAACGATTGGCGCAACGAAGTCTTCATATGTGAATAAACCGTAATGGAAATAATCCGCGAGTGGCATGACAGCATCCGAAAAAAAGATCCGATAGGGTTTAGATTTTGCCTGGTGTTGTAAAGTCTAGACCGAATACTTTAGGAGACGCTAAATTTTAGGCCAATATACTATCGTCCTCTGTTGCTCACCATCGAAAGACGCTGCCTGCTGTTTGGGCAGTTTTCCCCAGGGACATCCGGTGCTGCCGCTCATTGTCACGATTTTGATCGGTGCCAAACGTCAGTGGACGATAAACAATTTTTCTCCGTTCGTTTTAAACGAGGTTTCGCTATCTATCTTTACGTCCTGCTGTTTTTATCTGCCCTCGGATCGTCTACGATCAAGCCTCGTCGTTTTTGGAGGGGTCGCTATGAGCGATTCTCACCAAATCGACCAGTAGGATCGCTTCGATCCAGCAAAAACGAGACGATTTTTGCTGCCTCCCTTCCTGATGTTAGTGTCGTTTGCGCTTGAATAATTGCTTCAATTTGAATAACTTATTGTTTCTGTGATGATGAACTTACGTACAAATAACATACAAAGCGTTAACGTTAGCTCTCACGCTTGCCGATTGCGATACAGCAGAGTATTCGATAATATCTGATGAATGGCCAAAAATTTAATCACGAGTTAGTTGCAGATTAGAAAAGAGTGATATGCACCAGATTTCCACGAATTTCTTTAAATGGGATTTTTGAACACATTGGGCAGAGCCCAAAAACTTTGCTTCTATGCGGCCATTGTTAGTGATAGTGGGGCTTTAAGCTATATTGAATATAGCTTAAAAAGACGCGATGTCAGCGCTTTTATGCCGCTATGTCACAAAAATTGTTCACACAACGCTGTCGAAACAATGTTCAGCTGCCGAGCTGTAGCTCGATGTGATCTATCAGCAATGATCGCTGCTTGTGTGCACAGAAGATTACCGTGAGAAGGTCTTTAGACGGGCGGTCGGCCAGTGCCAGGAGAGAAGGTCTAAATGTTAGTTACAACAACGTAAGTGGACGTAAAACTAATTTTTAAACAGAACGAAATAGAGAGAGAGTTACAACTCTGCTTTTAAATATATTCATAAACTTAAATATATATTTTCGTTGTTGAATGTTTAATTCCTGTACACCTTAATCGATAATACTGTTTAAAATACAGTGAATATATTAGAAACATTTTGGTGATTTGGAAATTATATCTGAAGTAAACAGAAGAACAGCTACTCTTGTTAATCGTAATAATTTTTCCTAATTGCTTATGTATGTTCCACCGAAATCAAAAAGATCCGAGCCTTTATACCTTAGAAAATACCCGTATTACTTTCAGCAACTACGCTATTGGTTTCTTATTATCATAATTAGTACTTACCGCCTTTTTGCAAACTTAGTCGTTTTCAAAACAAATAAAAGAGCAATTTTATAATCGTTCTGTATGTACCGTTTGATTTGTTTACTATGTCGGAGAACGTGTGCATTTATAATGAGCGCATTAAAAGCATATGACCCGAGTACGACAGAACTCGCTGAATACTTCGTAAATAGACATTTTTCCATGAATTATTGGAATTAAATCAAATAGGCGTTTCAGTGAACGCCTAGAACTAGAAAAACCAAAAAAGCTTGTATATTTATGACAACAATATAGAATAAATGCTTTATTTAAATAAGTCTCCATATACTTTTGCACTATTACTACTGCTATATTTACCATCGTCGCACGTATTTTTGCTTTTATTGCGAACTCTCAATGTCGCTTCGTCCGGTTGTGATAATAATATTACTGTTATTCTTTTTACGATCTTCACGAGTTATATGGCGCTACTAATTTTTCCCTTATTTTTATTACTCATCATCATCATCAGCATCATATCTATTATTACCGGGTGTATTCTTATTAAAAGCTACTCGATTCAATAATTATTGTTTCTTTTTTTTTACCCAGACCTTATTTAATCAAACCGGTTGCCTAGCGGCCGACTAGAAACATTTAACGTAACCGTATATAGTAGGGTTATTTAAGAATTATAAGTATAACTATTATCATGATTTTTATGAATGATCATCTTGTTCGTAGTGTTCTTTTACTGTATTTCTTATATACTTGAAACTTTTTCATTTTCGATTTTTGTCGTTTTCAATGTATAAAGTATATCTTGTAATACTAACACATTGTAATCGTCCGATAGTATTGAAATATTTCTATTAATTAATTTGATGCATGTATATACGAAATGGGTCGGAGTGACATCTGCAGTGGTAGTCAAAAGACCGCGTTGTATGCAAATATACTCTTAATATTATCATCATCATCATCGAGTTCTAGTCCTCGAATCGCTTTTAACGTTGTCAACTGGTCCCGCGTCTAGAAAAAAAAAAAAAAAAAAGGATCCACATAATGAAAATTCATTGTTGTCAAGAGTGCCGAGACAAGAACATAACTGAAATGTTAGATTACGATTCTTACTTTAGTCCCTTTGCCTCTGCTCTGAGTTGAAACTACTAATATATATATATATACTCTTGTTTTTTTTTACGTAATGATTAGGCGCGCATTTCGTGGGTTGGCCTTTCACACGATTACTTCAAATCCTTTGTCCTTTTCCTCTTCTACATATGAACCTCGTCAAAAAAATGCCAATCGTTTTTCTAACTAGATGGTTCCAAAGTCGAACATCTCGGTTAATACGGGTCGCGTTAGGTCGGTGCTGGTGTGATTTGAAAGGTGAGGAAACAAAACGTGAGGTCAAAGTATAGTGCTAAAATTGTTGTAATGCTTTTATGCAGGCTTGAAACAAGGCGCCTTGAAGATGAATGGAATTTCTGTAAGAATTTGCTATATTTGCGATTGTATAACGATATCTGTTCCCATAGGCTGTTCAGGCTGAGAAAAAAATTGTATCGTTGATGGTCAATATGCGTTATTGGAGGAAGCGGATAACTGAGTCGTCTTCGTTTTAAAAATGTTCATGTAAAAGATGCCCCTCGTAGTGCTAGATGAATTATGGGAGATGTCGATAAACTTATTACGAAAGTTGAGTAAGGCCGACACGCCAATAGGCGTGATATTGTCGAGGAACTCGAGTCCCACTACAACTACAAGAAAAATCTCGACGTTTGGGTACCACGTGACGTGATGCAAAAGAATTCACTTAATTAAAAAAAAAAAAAAAAAAAAACGCAAGCTACGCAGAAACGCAAAGAAATCGAGCCATCTCTAGAGTGACGAAAAGTGGACCACATACGGTAATGACGAGCAAATCAAAAGAGAAAAAACAATTAATTTTTCACAATCTGTAACAGATTGCTCGCCAGATTGACGCCAATGAAAACGATGCCACGTATTTGGTGAAACTGAAATAATGTGACGCATTGTGTCTGGATAACGATTAATTCGGATTTCTACTGTTAACAACCATCAAAAGTGTAACAACATTAAAAAAAATCGACCGGAATTGGCATTGTTTTCCACCAAAAAACATGAATTTTTTGCTACCTGGCTGGAAAATTGTAGTACATTCGCCGCATAGTTGGAGCCTTGCACCATCAGTCGATCATTTACTTTAGTCTTTAAGGAACTCTCTTAATGATGTTCACTTAACTTTTCACAGGGTTTAGGTCAGAAACTGCACAAACTTCGCGATGATGTAATTGTTGTATTACCAAAATACTATCGATTAAAATGGCGCATATGTTGCTTAATAACATTATTTTAAAATATAAATAATTAGCTCCAGTTTTAGCTCAAGAATTGTCATTTTTCGACAACCTTATTTATATATATTGTCCTACTTGTAGCAAGCTGTCGTGTTTCCTCGGAGGTGCGAAATAGATATCGTTTGACAAAGCAGTTGGCTTTATGTCTCAACGGATGCGAGGCCTCCTGTAGGGAATTCTATAAGAACCTGACTTTAGTTTTTAACGAACTCGTATAGGGGGCTTAATCATATTGCTCAACTAGCTATAGTTAGCCAGTGAGCCTTGTTTATTAGGTAATATCGGGATAATAATATTAGGATAAATCGAACATATGAATTTAGTTTAGGACTCATTTCGTACTAAAGACTAATAAATTCGAAAGTAGAAAGGCACCTTTATCCGTCATTTGCTACCCTGTATACAAATATATGAATATCCACAGAGATGTCAGTTATTCAAGTTGTCATTATGATAACGACTGGATGTTCTGTAAGTTCACTTTCTACAGGTGCTCTTTATCCGTCTATATGTGCATCGGTGGGATATTTCTATTGTTGGCTATCATTTGTTTATATCATTTTGATAACGATGAAGAGTACGAAAGATAGCCAATGCTTAACCTGTACGTACTAATTAAGATGGTATTCCTTTGGCACTCGACGAACGCCTATTCGCTCGGTACTAAACACCATTATCTTGACAGCATCGCCGTCACTCATCGTACGCAAACGTCTCATTTTAACTAACTTGATAATGATTAGTAATATTTTATTCATGTGCTAATAACATGAAACAATAACTATTATTGCGACTTATGTAATTTTCACTGTTTACCAATGGGACGTTTTTGTGTTACATATTTTTTTGTCCACATTAACCGCTTTAGTATTACTAAAAATAGTCGGTGAGGTATTCTAATCATTATTGCATGCTTGTACAAGCACTCCTTCGTCACTGTACCTCAGAGCCTTGACATGAACCTCGAGACGTTTCCGCTACGATATTTATATTCATTACATTGTATAGTATACCAACACTGATTCGTTATGTTTCTTGATAAGTAAAATAATGACTTTTTACTTATTAAGTCTCTCTCATATGTCGCGTTCAAAAGGGACATATTTTTTAGTACTATATAAATACGTCACATACGCCAATATGAGCGATGACTCGTTTTCCACTTGGCTTAAAAGTCTTTAGCGAAAGCCGGTGCCCATTCATTAGATTCCGAATGGAGAGTACTGCTGCCATTCTACTTAGGCTCATGTTCATCAACAGTCAGATAAAAAGCTCCCCCTAAGATGGCCCTCTATTTTAAAAATTGTAACAGGGTAAATAATCGATAATTGCTCTTTAGGTGGGTTTTTAATGATTACTATTACGAGAATGCGCCGTTTTTTGTGCTTAAAATAAAAATTATTCCATCAATTGTTTCTATGGGAAATGATAGTTGAAGTTATAGACTTTGAAAAAAAATAAGATGAAATTACTTGCTTTTAGGTTAACCGGCTAGTGGGTGCAGCCAACACTATACTATATATGCGTTTAGCATATGATTGATATGATACAAACACACGTTTAATTGTGATGTTCGAGTACTATGAAATAGAAACGTTAATCAGGGCAAAGTTAATTCAAGTACCGAATTACTATATTTTCATTGAGCTACTGAATAAGGCAAATGAAATCACTACATGCAGTTAGGCACACATTTAACTTAAAAATCGTGATGGCGGTGCATAAACGCTTACCCATCGGAAAATCAATGAAATCAGCTGGCCTGATAGTTTGAATAGGGTACTCGCTCGTTTAAGGTCGACGGTAAGGAGTGGCACTGTTCAGTGCTACGGTGATCGGTATCTCTGCTGGTTTCTACCTGATGCAATAGACCCTTATTCCCGCAGCCTTAGTGGCCTTACTTGCTAGGTAACTGGCGCAGTTTAATTTTCCTCTCAACACAGATTTGCTGTTCGCTTCCACAGAAGTTAACGCAGAGAAACAGGCTTTCGTTTACAGGACTATGATAGAACAGGGCGCGTATGTATATACGGACACTATTTTCATACGATTTTTAATCAGCTACGGTTGCAATTACCGTATAATTTGCTTGCTAAGCAAAGTCACGTTAGCGCTACAGCCCGTATTGCGAATCAACCAAACTTCTGCAAATTGTCTACCGGTTGAAGTAAGCAGGGAAAAAAGTTGGCGATGATGACTTGCTTAGTGTGCAGTAATACCATAGTGTGCCAGACCAACAATATTACATTGAAATAACGATAACAATCAAAGGTGGCGACCGATGCTCTGACGACGAGAGCTGCACGAGCTCGTCGAGCGTAGAGATTTCATGCACGCCGCGCAATCTGGACGCTTTGAAGCCTTAGCTCGATTTACGCAGCTCTAGAATACGCTACACGTTCGAGAGTTCAGCATATTACGTTACGTTATTCGAGGTCGTCGTCACGACGGCAAGTTAATTGTTGTGGTAATAATCGATAAGGATCGTGCTTACACAATGATGTTCATTTCGATAGTTGTACGCCAGGTGACGCAGGGCATTTGTATCAAGTTAATTTCTTATGGTCTCTTCAACACAATGTCTAGTAAGCTCTCGAGTGCGTATCTTGTGCTTCTGTACATCTTCACGACATTAAATCACTTTAGCCGTTCCGGTTAGTTCAACCACAGTTGACAGATATATTTTCAGTCCATATCTGTCGAATATAAGCGATAACTGTGTCCGCTTCAGAAGTTCTGTTGCTTCAAAAACCTTGCCATATTCCGAGCTTTCTCAATTGTCATTTTATCCGATTCGTTCTTACGGCCAAATGTCGGCTTTGAGCAGCGGCGGCCGACACACATAAGTACCTAGCCCCTTATACTTGAGTTTGTTGTACGTATGTTTAATCTACCTAGACTAAATAATTATGGACAATCGGTAAAATATTTAAGTGGATTTTTTTTCATCTGGTATTAGGGCGTGTAGACGAAGAGCATCATTGAAAACCTACTTGTTTTAAGAAAAAATGTGCCTGTCCTTGGTTTTTTTTTGTGATTAATGCCTAACGCGAGTATTGTGAAATGTCAGTTCAGACAATACCCGCCACCGTCGTCGATTCATAAACGATTGGGCATGTGTTTCCGCAACCTAGAAACGAGCGTACAAAGTGCACTTGATGAAAACACTATTTTTATAAAGAACAACGCACCTGTACAGGTCATCTATCCAAAGTTATCGCCGGCAGCTCTGCTTAGCTCCCTTTTTATAATTACAGTGAGCTTTGGATCTGTTGGTCGCCGTTGTTAAACATTTTACAGTTCCAATTAACTACTCTACAGATTCTAACTGGTACATTGACAACGTACCGGGATTACCTGCTGTCCAAGCTAGAAATTGTCTCTTGAGACCTCACATTAAACTCTAACGAGTAAATCTAAACATGTAACAGTCTACTTATATAATTTATAGTGATATCATCAATACACACGCTGTTACTCATTAAAATAGATAGCACTGACTAACGGATAACTATTTATCAACTTTTACAGTATCGGCGATATTCATATTGGCCGTGGCTTCTGCACGATCTATTGTCTGTGTATGATTTCTGGATTCACTGGTATTATATGTTTCGATTTCAGTTCGATTTCAATATTTTCATTTACTCGTTCTCGGTAGCGATCCCGAACAAGGTACTCAGTCGTGACGATGCGTTTAAAAACGGCTCCCACCACCCAGGTCCTATTGTAGAATTCACTTTGTCACCGTTCGTGTCAAGTTAACTGGGCGTTTAACTATCCCTATTGAAAATAATTACTTATAGTTTACGTGACACGGTTCGATTAAAAAGTGCGTTGATTCAGGGAGTCTAAAATAACTATCCGTTTTACCGTTTCAACGCAGCTGTCATTGACTGTTTAGAAGTAATAGTGTCCGTACTATACGGCCACAAGTTTGCCGGATGGATTAGACTCTGCCTATTATTATTATTATTTATGCGCTCGATAGTTTATATGTATCATGTATGTAACGTGTGGTTCTCCTCGCAGTTTACGGGGCATCGGCTTGAAAAATACGAGCTTCTGCCTTGGGAGACCGACTATTCAATAATGCATGGTTGGCTAGCAATATGAAAAATTAAAATTTATTATTTTATTCCTGTTGTTTGTGTGTACACGTACCACCGTAAATAGTAAAGCACTCAATGTGCTAGCTTGTTGTATGAAGTCATTGTAATGATTACTGAGAGGTCCGCGCGATTTGCCGTTTATACGTGTGTGTGTGTGTGTGTGTGTGTGTGTGTGTGTGTGTATTTCTTTTCAGAAAAGCGCATGTATCATCCCTTTTTATCTGACTGACGCTCGATACTGCTCTTTTCGTAAGAAGCTTCATCTTGATAACTAACTGTGCAGTCTACCTTCTGCATTAACCAACGATTACGATGAAAATAAAATCTACGTTCCTATAATATACTCGTTACCTTTTTATCATGCCTTTACACACTGTAACACCTAGTTACTCTGGCACAGATGCGTGACGTTCATCAAACACAATATTCACAAAATAGAATTCATCCAAGAGCACACATTTTCAGGGAATATATAAGTATATATAAATACAATAGGATAATGCCAACCATCTGAAACAATTCATTGCTATTACCCTTGTAAGATTATAAAGCCGCAGTTATGATTTTGGTCCGGTTCATATTAAGATTGATTTATCATTTGTCATGCTTGTAGTATAAGTGTAGTGCAGTCTAAGATTGCTACTTCTTCATTTTTTTTTTTCATTTTTAGGATGAATATAATGTGTTCCTGCTGTCTTATAGGACGTGCAAGTTGTCGCAGCTGCTGTGAGCCGCACCGCTGAAGGTACCGCAAGCCTTTCGAAGGATCTTCTTGAGGAACATCTTGGCCCTCAGCGGTCGCTTGTGCGTCGCGCCGTGACAGTCACCTGGTAGGTCGCCAGGCGTTTGGTTTAGCGAGCCGTTCTGCATCACTGGGGACGTCCTTGTTCGCATTAGGGGCAAAATCTTAAGAGTGGTACCTTGGCTGCGTTGCGAAGCACTACGCTTAATCAACTGCAAAGAGACAAAATTAAGAAAATGGTAGTAATCGTAATATATTACTATTTTCGCTAAACGACTCATTATTAATAAACGAGCCTCTTTACGTTTACGTTTAGGACCAATTTTTATATATGGGAATGAGGAATCTTTTTTCACACATCTGCGTACTTCCGCTATATCGATGTATCTTTTCCGGTTGAAAAGAGAAGTAGGAATGCTTCGAGCTTTACGTCCGGCACTGCTGTTAGGCCATCTATCAGATGGCCGGTTTCCCGCACGAAACTATAACTGGGCGGGCCATGCTGGGAAATACAGTTTGTGTGCAGTAAAATAACCAGTAGCGGAGAAAGAAATACAGGACCCGCTAAAAAAGGATGCACAACAGCTCCACCGCCAAGTTGATGCTGACGTGCTTTAGACGGATGATAAGAAATTATCAGGAACGGTTTCAACTTCACAATACCGCGACCTTGACAGCAGTTAATACAATGAAGAATACTTCATTAGAGTTCCTTCCACAGAGTAACTCGAGAAATGTCTGGATCATCAATGAACAAAAAGCACGCAAGAAGTTATATCAAGTACTCCCCAATCTACATACGGACAACAATTTTATTTTAGATAATCAACTGAAATAGCACGAAGATGTCAACGTCCGCTATAGTGTCTACTAGACTATGTTATGCTAAACACGATAACCTAAAAAAGGTCGTGATTAGATCGTGATGATAGGTCGTGATGGGAAATTGCCGCTTTAGACACCAAGCATGAAATGGTCCAGCATTAAAAAGTTTCATATCCGCATGCTTCTTCTTGTAGTGCAAATAACTTGAAATGATAAAAATTTTGCAAAAAAATCCGAAAAATGTGCTTCGAACGATGAAAGTTGAGAAACTGAGACGGTTAGACTCATATGTATCTAACACTGCGCTATATATATAGCGAACGGTACGCAGTCACTGCGTTCTTTGGCGCTGAATTTAAATCCGACGGAAATTTCAAATAAGTGAAAAATACTATGATATATAATGTTAAGTAACAATAAGAGCATCGCTACATCTAAAATTTAATAAACTTCTAATAGCTATTAATGAACCTATTCTTCATCTAATTCTATCACAGAACCGATAGAATTTTTTTATATCCAACATATCCATCGACCAAAAACGGAAAACAATGTGAGACCTTCAACGTCTCAAACATGTCTTTTCTTAAACAGGTTTTTTCTTGTCTTACTACGCTGATCAACCCGGATGAGAAGTTCACTAGAATGACACGGATTCCCAAAAGTGAACGCTGTGAGTGTATATAATTATTTTTTCCTATTGGAAGACTTTTTAAAAGTAGAGGAGATAAATAAATCATCACTTATCTGGTAAAACTGAAAGGAAATTTGTAAATAAGCATATCGAACTGTTCCTATATTGTTTAGCAAAGAAACTTCGAGCGCCAAATTGCACATCAGTATAACAGAAAATATAAACGCGGGTCTTGTACATAAATCGTAGCAATTAATACAGATGTATTATCAATCTGTGTATGTAAATAATGGGTAGGTATTAGAAGATGAAGCGTCCAGATCCTTCAGCCTGTCATAAGTTTTACATTACACACAGAGTGTCTTAAGGGCACTCATTTATAGTATTTATAGATTTATGTTTATAATAAGCTGATACTCTTAGAGTCCAGGCTCTGAGAGCTTTTTAGCAGTCTTATGTTTGCTATTGTGTTCCCGGATATTATATCTGCTTTTATTAATTAAAATTTCTATAAACAAATCGACGTCTGCAGAATGCACGCCCCTAACCTCCTTCCGTCGTGCATAGCAGCAATCAAAACTATAAACGTGCTGTTTAAACTTGAAGGTAACCCCTAATACCGCTACCCTTAAATTCGGACAAACTTTCAGTGCTTCCTTAAGCCTTGCATCGGTATCGCCTATTAAACCATTTATTAATAAGTCGCCTCAAAAAATATAGACATCAGCCGAAATAAAGTTTTCGAGAAAAAGCAACTATTATGGTTAGTATAAGCCAATACCCACCTGACGTTGGCAAAGTTGTGGGTTTCCTTTTAGACTTGTGTCCGGTCTATTGGTAAATAAGTATACTAAGAATATTTTCGAAATTCGATCGTATATCATGATGAACTCCTACGAACATATTATTGAACTTATTCATACACAGTGATTATATATATATGCTGTAAGGAGCAAGAGACTGGCGAAAAGCAAGCAATAACTTGATAATTACCCATTAGTTTTAGATACTGGAGATTCATTTTTGTTTACAGACTCTGGATTAGTTAATATTAAAGCTATATATTTTTATTATCTGATCGCTAAAAGGTATACACTACCAACGCGCACCTTGACGGCTATGTGATCCAAAATAGCGGATAGTTCTAACGACGCACGTTTATTTTATAGGAAAGAGTGTTTTTTATGTGTATACATACCAGTTGCTGTTTGAGCCGTATCTGGTGCAGGAGCCCAGCCAGGAGCTCATCGACGTTATGATTTATTCCCGCCGACGTCTCAATAAATTTGATACCTTCGCCACTTGCGAAACTTCGACCCTCTAAAATTGACGAAATGAGACTTATCAGTCCCTAACTGTCTTAATCATCCCCTTGTTTTAGTAAATATAAGAGGTTAGTTGAGATATAATTTTGGAGCACCTATGTTGTACGGCGGTGGTTATCGATGTGATCCTAATACCTGAAGCGTAGGAGATGTATGTAGCTTTTGAGAAACAAACAATATTTCAGTTATAATAACAACTATAGTTTAGAACCAAAAAAAAAAAAAAAAAAATAGGTTTCTATAACCCAGAGAGAAAATAGATGAAGCTTAATCGAGTAATAACAGTAGGAATAGCAACGATTACTAACCGCTTGTGGAGATAGCTCGAAGTCGCACGAGGTCGGTCTTATTCGCGACAAGGATGACGGCTCGAGCCGCCATGTTATCCCACTTGCGAATCGTCTTAAATCGGTGAAAATAATGCATTTCAAAGCAACGAGGATCTCAGTAATAGTTCTGATTTCACTTAATGTTCTGTGCACTTATCTCAAAGGCGTATATACATTCGCGTATTATTAGCTAAATTGATTCGACCGATTCTAATTCGAAACGTTTTTGAATTAACAGTCAAAGTGAAAATTCTATACGTAAAAAATCAGCATTACCATAATACCTAAGTTTCATACTTGGCCATACTTGTTCTTTACTCAAGCACGACAGTGAAGTCGGTAATTACCTGAAGGAACTCTTTGGCTGCACCGAAGGAGCTCTTAGACGTCATTGAATAGACCACCAGATACGCATCGGGCTGGTAGCTCGTTACTGGGTTTCTCTGTGAAGATAGCCGTAGATAGACATTTCTATTGTATACATTGTAGGTTGCAACAGAAATAAGGGCTATTTTTTGACGTTGTTTTTTTTCTTTATAGTTATTCACTAACCATTTATTTCTGTGAAGTAATCTCCCCACGTCTATCGGTCTATTGTAATTTTATGCTGCAAGGAACATAATTTCAGGTCGAATCGGAATTAGAAGATGATATTGGAAAGCAAAGAAAAGCCTCTTCGTATCCTGCTATTTGCTAAAATCAAAAGGCTGCCGAAGAAAGACTAGATCCTTGGGCTATGTAAAATGTGAATTTGAACTGCTCGCAACACGTTTGCGAGGTTCAAGAATTGCATCTTGCAGCTGGAAGATGCGTTGCGTCCCCGGTCGACCATCTGAGGCCAAGGATGACCGCCGGAATCCGTTTAGCCAACGGCTCGTTAATTGGACGAGAGGACGAACTGCAGTGTATAATTATCAGCTGACATTTTTACTGGCTTTGTTTTTCGGCTTCAAAATAAAAACAGTCTAACACTTTTCACTATGACCATAGACACGGGAATATCTACGCAAAGCTAAAACTCTGTCCGTTCATCTGCTGCAACTAGCGAAACTTTGAAACAAGCTTCACTTCTCGAAACCGACGACGTATCATATACTCAACACAATCGACAATACAAGTCCCAGCAAGACTGGAAATGTAGACATGTTTAAACTTGGCCATGTGTTAATATCACGATATGAAACACGAGTACTTTAAACTTGCTTTTAGTGCTTTTTGCCCTTGTTACCTGTCCACCCTTTATTTACTTCTACAGTACCATTTGAAAGTGTTTTCTTTCATATGTAAGTCAGTTGCAATTCTGTTGCGCGGTGAACGAAGTTCTATGTTGAGTTCAGACCGAAAGTTTCAAATTAATAAAAGAAAAGATCATCTTCTTCGCTTAGGTCAAACAAATTTTTGCCGAAGTCAAACAGCTTCCGAAGTAATACAGGCTACTTGTGTCGCGTACAGCAAGGATATTACAAGGCTTGGAATTTACCTCAGAGTTGGGCTTAGGGCTAGGTTTAAGATCAGGCTTAGAGACAGACTTAACATTAGGTACAGCGTTTAGCGAGAGGACCGTTAAGAATTCCTTCGCAAAATTCAAAAGTGGCATTTTACAACTGGTGCATGCGGCCCGCTCTAGTCAAACGTCTGTGATCGATAAGGAGCAATTGAAGCCATCGAGCAACACGCAGCTGCAATGGCAGATTTTTTAACAGGATTATTTTTAGGGACGAAGAATGGTGGTTTCACATCGATACAAAGCAGAAAAAAACTGATAGCTCTGGGCACGAGATTTCTATTTCCAAAGTGACTACGATTCTTGTTTGGAGGGCCAGCAATTCGTGACCTGGACGGGGTGATAGATTGCAGTATACGATTATCGACAGGCATCTTCAATGCATTGGATTTACATGAAAATTAAAAGTCTAGGTCCCTCATGAGTCTACTGAGCAGTATAAAAAGACAAGGCTTCTTATTTCTTCTTAACATCTTACCTAACAGCGAGTAATACACAACCACAATGACAGGCTTCTACACAGAATCGTCACCAGTGGCAAGAAGCCGTCTTTTCACTTCGATATTAAGTGTCCTCCGTAAGGTTGCGTCTCTCAAAAGGACCACAACCTCTATTTGGCGAAACTTGAAGCCTTTGCACCGCGAAATGTCTATAACTAGATGGTTAAAAAATCTGTATCTGTATACGGTAACTCAATTACATTACTTGAATAAGGCTATCGAACGGAAAATACCCGATGGACGAGGCAATGTCGTTTTTTTGCACGACAATGCAAGGCCGGAAACGACAAAGGTTGTGTACAGGTTTTTTCGACCCACTGTAGTTTCCACACATAGGTAAATTAACTTAGTAAAAACGCATTCGACAGCGGAGAGGGTCAAACGCTGAATGAGCAACTTTTTTAACACCAGTCCCAAAAATTCTTGCCAAGAAAGAATATATTAATTGAAGGATGGAGAAGGCTAAAGAAGAGTGACAGCGAATTAAAAGTAAGTTAGTCTGTTGATAAAAACGATTTTGACAATCCAGTATCTGATCAAATATAGCGAGTAGGCAATGCTGCAAGAGATGCATAGGAGCTTATTTGGAATTTTGTAGAGGTATTCGAACAGTCTGGATACTTACAAGTGCTTCGCTAGATTTGTGTTCAATAAACACCAGCTCTGATTCCTCTCCGTTGAGAATAATCTGTACAACTTTCTCGTGCTCTTCGTCTGAAACAACGTATACGAAAGAATTCCTTGTGATTTTTTGTCTTTCTCTGGCGATGGCTTATTGAGACGGTCGAAGGAGACTGATACCAAACAGCTAAAGCATCGTTAGAACCACCATAACTGGCGGCCATAGATAGTTGGCAGAAAGTTGGAAAAATGACGTATGTTATTCTGGTCTTACCCATGGAGCTGTCGTAAGAGCAGATGTACTCCGAGGTTGTAAATTGCCTCGTGAGTGATGTTTTGCCCGTTTCTGGTGCGCCCAAAACGAGTACACGGTAACGTCGTGCAGCAGTCGGCTCCACGCAGATGACATCATCTACGATCGACTGTTATCGATAATAATAACGAAAATGACGATGAACAGAAATAGAAGTAATGTGACTCAGGGATAGGGTATGCGTTCATAGACCAACAACGTAATTTTTTTAATATAAAGGTCTATAGTTAATTCAGAAAAATCATATGATAAGCGCAGGCTGCATTTGCAACCAATGACTAGTATTTGAAGTATGAAGTATTTGAAGTTCATTCTTATGTATACAGTGAAATGAATTCGTCCAGTGTCCTTTAAAGCAAATAGTAGCTATTCGCGTTAAAAGTTATATGTCAATACATGAACAGGGTGGCTGTTATCCTTCAGCTGCATTTCGACGAAGAGCAACACAGTTAGCTAGGAAATAGTTTTTACCGTACTCGTACCCTAAATACGCAGTTTTCTTATCAGGTCAAGCCCACACAAAAACATAGAGCCGTTGTTAAGATTGTAAATACATATCCATCAATCAGGCCAATATTTCACCACTTTATCTTCTGGTCCTGTAGTCACGGGAGTAGTTTTGATAAAATAATTTCATTTTATACATGGAAATCCATTTTTGACAATGCTCAAGCTTTCATAAAAATAATGACAAGGGGAGTATCACATTTTAATTTACGCTGCAATTTCTTATATTATTATAGTTATATTAGAGAAATATTTTCACCTTTTTAGCAAACGAGAAACAGCAGGCTTGCTTTGATATGATTTTATAGGTAAAATCATAAACGTCCCATGACGTTGGTTAGATACCTTTAGAGAAATCAGCATATAAAGTTACTAGAATAAACATCTTAAAATGAATTAAGTTACAAATTATTTATTTCTCTCTTTACGATTATAGTGTGAAGGTGCCTGCAATGCAGTGATTTTGCGTTCTGCTTCTTGATATTTTAACATAGAAGTTTTTTTGAAAATTTAGCGACTTCTTCCCAAAAGGAACTAGTTCAGGCTTGGTAGAACTGTTGTAGTTATTAAACCTAAAAAAAAACCGAGTATCATCGACGATAAATTTTGGTAGAAAAAAGTTATTAAAACTGGAAATAGAATCAATAATTATAAACAATTACAATATTAATGATGAATCATTGTTATTAGGACAGGAGTGGACAGCATTATCTTTGTGCTTAAAATGTATTTGATGCAAACTGCGGCATCTTGAGAAACTTGGGTCGCCGGCTTCATGAACATATGGCATAGGATACTAAAGCTGAAGTTGACGACATATTGAAGTTGCGCCAATAAAACAATCAAGTTGACAGTAAGCGCTGTGTCATTCTGCTTGTTAATGAGTAAGTTTTAGTCTGTTTTGTATTTTAGATAGATAAGGAGTACAATGGTATGATGCTGGTCGAGTTTATACACATAAAATAGAATCTACGTTCGTGTTAATCGATCTTAACAAACAACAGACGTTTCGTCAGCGACGTACTACTCTAGTTGTAGTCCTAAAGAACTGCGGTCCGTCATGGCACATTTGCTTACACAGCCCCATCAGAAGAGAGTTTCATAGGTAAAATTGAAATTAAAACTTATGTAGATGATCAGTAAATGTCTCTTGGCTCCGTTTGTCAGGCCTCTCTTAAAAAACCCTCAGATAAGCTTTTTAATCACAAGACAATACTTGATTTTCATGGGAGTTGACAAACCTCATCAGCCTCTGCGGGGTTGAGTTCGTCGTCGTCATGAGGCCTACACTCCTTCGAGGCTCCTGCAGCATCGATTAGTGATTCTTGTTGGATAATATGGCTTGCAAAAACATTGCAGGCCACCAAGGCGCCGCCGCTTTCTTCCAGCTGGCTCAGAACCCTGCCGCCGTCCGAGAGCGATACCGCGCGAAGGGCGATGGTTGGGGAGACCTGCGCCAGCGTTGCATATGCTTCTCGCTCTACAGAAGCGTCTACAAACGACGACGACGACGACAACAAGAACAGCAATCATTGAGATCGGCAGACTTGGTGGATGGTAAGCATCTAACTTAGAAAATAGTTGAACGGGTCATAATTTTATTTTAATAGCAACTTGAACCGACTCACCTAGCGTATACGATGAACGAACTTTTGTGAGCAGCAATAAAAACTTACCTGTGTGAAGTTCAGGGTTTGAACCCGACTGGTTTGTGGCGTGAATACAGTTCTGAGACCCGCCACTATGTGACCTTTGTCGTTGGCTGCCGGTGCCGCCCGTGGGTACGTTAAGGCGATTTAGCGAGGAGGCGTGCTGCCGGTGCAGACTAACCGATCGTACGCCCACCTGCGTCCAAAATGCATTATATAGTATTATGATTATTGACATTTACAACCTATGCTGTACAATTTCTAATAAAATGAATGGTATTCACTTACATCTTTATTTCAGTTACTAGTAGATTATCAATACATGTTCAGATTGTAGTTCTTGTTGTATAACTATTGGCTTCGCTAATTAAACTGGCTTTGTCCTTACAATAATATGCAATCTATCATACCAAAATAAGCAAAGTGATCAACTACTAGTCTTCTGCTCACCTTAGCAGACGCTTGGAGTGATCGACTGTTGTTGGCTTTTGAGCGGAACGAGTCGCCCCGGTTGATCACCCCCTTCGACGTCACTGCAAAGTTGCGAAGACGCTGTACCTCGCCGCCTCCCGCCCCTGCTGCTGCTGCTGCCGCCGCCGCCGCTTCTATTCCCAACCCGCTTCCATCGTAACCGTCGCCACCTGAATTAAAAATATTCAAATCTATTTTAACCATCCAGCGTCAATCAATGTCGACGAAAAGCTCGTATACTAGAAGAGCATAAATGGCTAAATCAGCTTTTATACCCTTGGTCAGTTTTTGTGAAAGTAATCCGATTCTTAGAAACTCGAATAGCTTATAACGAACAATAGGAAACTCTTTGATTATATATATTTTAATTTTAAATCCATATTCGGAATGATCGCATAAGATGAAGCTTTCAAAATCCATTGTAATCAGATGTAGGGAAAACATGATTGACAAGATATCCTCTTATTCCCAAGATACGTCAGGTTGTCTGCGGGAAACAATTTAAGACCCGAGTAATGTGTGTACTATGCATCACGTACGTTATGGGAGACCTTAATGTATCTATACCTTGTTAATGTACAGCGTCCATGTTGCTGGAACTCTATCTTACGGACGTTTGTTCCGAATGATTTATACACACAGCTGTACAAATACCTTGGTACTATTTTACTGGTGTGGAGCACGAGCAAATTTCAATATGAAAAGTTGTCTATCTATGAAATATTAGAACGGATATCAATACGCAAACTATGCAAAAAAAACCCAAATAAATACGCTTAGATAAGCACAAAATCGATCGTTTCCTCAATACGGTTCTGACAAATACCCCGAGTGGTGGAAGTGCCCAAGCAAAAACTACCGTTGTTGGCACACGGTAGTTAACCGTCTGTTTGCCTGTTACACGGTCCGCGGCGTTCGGTATTAATCTGTAATATTTTTTTTTGTCAAATCGTGTGTTATTTCTGTATGAATAACCCAATAAACGGCGAATCGTAGCTTATTTATAAACTGCGTTTATGAACGTTTCAGACGTCCAAATCTGTATGCACCATAAACGCTGTTCGCCGAGGATGCGTTCCATGCCGCGTGGCCGAGATGTCCAGAGGTAGCAGGTTCGATCCCGCTCGAGTCCCACTCTCCTACGCAGCCTGCACTCCCGCGCTCGCCCGGTATAGACGCGATTCGCTGGCGGAACCTGAAATCAAGTCACGTAAGGCACTGTATTTATACTTCGGCTGGCCATTAGCATTATTACAAGTAGACCGCCCCTTAATATTTACTTTTTCAGTACCGACCAACCTATGCTGTGACTGTTGGCAGAGTCTGGCCATATTGGAACGTGAAACGAGATTGAAATATCCAATAGGTCACTGTTGTAGAAAATGTTTGATTAATATGCTCCATAAAGTAACACAATAAAACGGATAGAACTTATATGGACTCTACGATGCGAGAATGGGCTTCGTTTCATTACTGAACAAAAAAGGCCAGCTTCCATTCAATTCTGATTAAACATGTAAAACGCAAAGCGCCATCTAAAGTTTACCGCGCTATAGTTATAGTGTACTTGCTAGCTAGGTCGTCTCTAATATGAGAGACTTGCCAGGCGTACTGGTAAAGACAATGATACATGCACCATTTTGGTAGAAATCTAACGTTGAGTGCTTGTTAGCCAAAATAGGTGGATGGCACAATCAATGGTCGTAGCCAACCCTGCGCACTCCAGCCGTTATAACTGATGCTAAAAATACCATCAACAAGCTCGAATAAACCTTTCATCTGCGGTGATAGCGGGCTAGATATTTTTGTTTTAATTTTTCTATAGAGAATTCGAGTGTGCATGCCGAGTAACGATTAAGAAACTATTTTTTTACCTGCAGGTCCTGTTAGTGAAGTTGATCGATATACCTGCCATCGGGTACGTCAAAAACGTACACGAATTTCGCCTAGTCCATTGTTAGGCACAACTGAATTGCGCTATAGTGAGATAATGTTCAATGCTACCGGTAATTTACGATGGACTACGATGAATTAGCGGCATAAGCCAAACAATGACGGCTATATTTCCCAGTTTCACTGGAACAGTAAAGACCTCTAGTCGTTGAGGAACTTGATGGAATGGAATGGCGGTACTCGTCTATAACAACTACAGTGATCGGGAAAAGGCAATGTCAGATTAAGATTTTTTTGCGTAGTAAAAAATCACGAAACTAAGAATACAGTCTAGTCCAAAAAATACTGCACTACCTGTAAAAAGAGGCACTGAAAACAAAACCTTTATAGTACAATAGCTGCTATCTTCTATAGATTGTGTTATCGTCTTATAGTGACATTGTACTAGTGGTTCTATACTTATAGGACCTCTAAGTTGTGCGCCTGTTCTCACTTCGGCTATCCGTTTTTACTGTATTTTAAATGCTCAATTATTATTTAGTTCACGTAAACGTAACTTTTTCGATGCGTCAACGCGATGTAATGATATCTTAAGTTAAACGGAACAAACACTATCGAAAATTATCTGAGACTACGACTTGTGAGTAGATAAAATCGAGGACTGACTTAGGGGGAGGCATCAGCCATCTCTCCTCTATGGGGTCTAGCACTTGCCTATTTCTCTTATAGTGAACCGCATCGAACACCCATTTTTCATTCGTAGTTTGTAAAGCCTCCATTAATCTAGCCCACGAAAATGATGGCTCTTTTTCAGATGGGGTCTGGGCTTAGACGTATTTTTCAAAGCCAACCATTTCGTCCTCTGCTCCACATGACCTCTAGTCACGCATAACAATTCTATGTAGATCATTGTCACTGTATCTTGCTCAATGCCAGACGAAATATCGAAAGCCAACTAAAAGCCATGTTGTCCTATTCTCTTCTCAACGTTCTAATTTTTGAGCAAGTCTCATTGAATCAGAATAGCTGCTTATAGGCGCATGAACGCAGACTATCTTCTTGATCAATTCATGGCCTTCTTTTAGATCACTTTCCGTCAAAAGCATTTCGAAACGGTCCGTCTCAGCGAAACGAGATGCGTCTCCCGCTTTCAAGATACCGTCTAAAGCTAACAATCCATGCTCGGAAAACTTTTCAGTTAAAGCCTTCCTCGCATAGAGTGCGTACATTACAGAAATACGTTGGATAAGATCCTGTTGACCAAATGACAAAATTACAGTCAGCCTAGGAATACATAGGAAAAAGCACGCAGAAGGAAAGATCTGAAAATCGAAAACATTGTTTTTACCAACCTGAGATATCCATGTCAGACGTCCCAAAACTCGATGATGTAGGACAAAGTTAGCAAAACGACTATTTTTCCAGTAAACCCACGAGGTATCAATATATAATCTTACCCCCTAAAAATTTATTTTTTTACGAAGTAATTTCGTAAATTCTACTTAGTGAAACAAAGTTGCCTCGAATGCATGCAGAAGAATGTCTACTTCTTTTTTTTTTTCAATATCAGTTTCAACTTGTGGTGGTACACGAATAACGAAGATTTTGGCTTGAAAATAAAAACATTTTATCATTTTTCATTATGACTATAGACATTGGAATATCTGCGTAAAGTTAAAATTCTGCCAAATATTAAGACCGCAATACGTACTTGAATAAACAGTGAGTTGAAACACTGAATTATATTTTAATCCTTGTCCTCTTTATTGTCTCTTTAGTGTTTATTTACTTCTACATCGCTATTCGAATGTGCTCTCCTTCCTATGCAAGTTCATGGCAGCTTGGTTATACACTGAATGTCGTTTAGACCCCAAAGATGGAAGTTCCAGACAGATAAAAAAAAAACAAGTGCATTTTCGTCTTTTGCCGAGCTTGAACAGCTGCCGAAGCACTTCGGGATACTTGTTCCGTGTACGGCAAAGATTGTACAAGGTTTAGGAGTGGCCTAGAATTAGGCTTACGCGTTTCGCTTTAGTTAATCATCTGTGTTCAATAGGGAACCATGGAAATTACCGAGCAATCGCAAATCTCTCCACAAGTGTATTACGTAGGACGAAGAGTAGTAATTCTATTTCGATACAAGCAGGAAAAAGGATGGGTAGCTTTGACACATACGCTCAATGTTAGGCCAGATTTCGATCTTAAGACGATCATGATTTGCGTTCGGAGGGGTAACGACACGTGACCTGAGCGGTAACATAAACGGCAGTCTACGATTACCGACGGATACTTTCAATCTCTTAGGTTTAGTTAAAAATTGGACCTTGTGTTCGCCATTGAATTGAATGAACAGCATAAAGGCTTCTCATTTCTTTTCTGCAACTCGTCTGGCCTCGAGTAACCCGCAACCACAATAACAGACCTTTCACAAAGCTACTACAAGTGATGAAGATTGATTTTTCCGCGTCGATATAAAACAGCAATCAATGAGGTAGTTCCAAAAAATAGCAGATCTTTATTTCAAAAAGGTTATGATTTACCTTTAGTGGAACTAGAAGCGGCTGGCGAACGAAGCTATCGAATAGAAATTATCTACATGAAAAAAAAAAAGTTTTGTCTCTGCAAGGTCACCCTTCTCTACAAAAATACCAAGTTAGGCGTGGCAAAATAGGATAGCCGTCTTGTAAAAGTTTAAATGGGAGGTTTCCTTACACACACCATATACTTCGGACTTTTGCTCCGACGCATTATCAGTTATTCTGGTCGTTAGAAAATGAAATTCGTAATGGCACATTTCATAATGAAGAAAATTTTTAAAAATGATTAGTCGAGTTCGTCAACGGCTACCTTTTTGTTAGGCAAAAAAAAAAAAAACTGAAGTTACTCATGTCTAATATCAGTCGTCCACTACGACACTTTTTCCATATCGGAAGATATCGGGTATTCCCGAAACTATTTTCACGACCTGGTCTGCCAGGTGTTGTTCAAGCTATGATATTGTACGTACCTATTAGAACACAAACTTCGAAAGTTTTTTAATAATCCCGCCTAAGTTGATTATTAACTACCGCGTTATTCCGGAGAAGCAAATATCGTTATATGAGGACAAATAAAAGGTCTTCTCTACGATACCCATTGATCAATCTAAATTTGTTTGCAAAAAAGCAAAAATTCCATTGGAAACTGGAAATACCCGATAGCTTCGGAAGCATCCGTTACTCTATTTTCATCTTATACAAGCGTGTTACAACAATCAATTGTCCGACGACTATTATAACGTTTGTCGTCGGTCAGTATCTTAAGCACCTGCTAGGACATCATCAGGTAACTGAGAAATCGATATCTGTTATCAGGTAAGATACCTGGTTGCTAATATCTCATAGTTTTCCACAGCTCAAGCTTCTTCTAGGATTTTGCCAGCAGTTTTGACCAATGAATGAACCACCAAATGAAAAAGCAGATTGAAGCTTTACAGATACTGTTAACTTACCGACTACGAGTGAAGTTCTTAAGTAAGCTGAAAAACCAGGTATACTGAGCTCCAAACCTTCGTTATTTGACTTATTACTATTAGTTAATTTTCATTTACTAGACAAAATAATGAAACATATTTTATAGGTGTATACTCTCGCTTCCGCAATCGAGGCAGTACTTCTTCGACAATCATATACTGCTTCTTCTATTTGGTTTTGTTTGAAAACTTGTTCTTTACCAAGCTCTCCTCCCCTCTAGGGGAATTATCCCCAATTACGAGATATTCTATTTGTAGCAACGTGATAAATCAACAAACTGGCAGTACTTCCAATAGATTTTCTTATATACATATAGAAATGCATTTATCTATATGCATAATTAATATCTAAACTACTGTGTTGTGAACCTAGCATGATAATGCCTAAGCTTATGTTGATATAAGCACTACACCGAAAGAAATGTAACGTGTACTACTGAACTGTGCGATATAGTATTCAGGTTTGTTTTGATTAGGTTGAAGAACAGTCTCCGTACCGCCTTACGTAGTTCTAGTACAAATGTCCGTTTAATAACACTATCATATAGTCGCTACCATATTGTTACACTATATGCAATGTATGTGTGATATTCCGTAATAATACGTTTTTGGTACCTGGTGCTGTTTTCAAGTGTCTGGGGTCTCTTCGCAGTCCGAACAGACTGTGAACGACCCACAGAACGGTGATGCTGTAGTTGTTGATTGCCGACAATGTTGTTGTGAAGCGACGCGGTATGGCTAGCGCTTAAACGGTGCTGATTGTGGTGATGACCTAACGGACTGAGACTCTGCGGGGAGTTGGCGTGACTATGAGCCGGAGATGGAGACTTATGCTGATTGTTTAACGTCGGATCGAGCAGCTGAAGGAGGCTACCTGAAGAAGTGTTCAGAGTGAGCGAACTCGCGTTTCCCATTGGGGTTCGATAGGATAGGACCGGAGAGGAAATACATGCCTGCAATGTGGAAAGCAAAGCCGGCAAAAAGTAGATAACAGACAGCACTGGCATAGAAATCGTTACGTGATACTTGGTCACACATGTATTCTATCTAACTTGTAGAAATAATTATGATAAGACACTAGGATTACACTTATTTCATGTACAGTCGTGCAAATACGCCGTTACATCTTTGTTCTAATAAAGTGTTCAGATACATAGAGAACCTACCATGTCTAGAGAATAGATCAATACAAATATATCTAGTTCTGTGGACATATCACAACTATATATTATTTAAAGCTAAATAAGTGTTTTAGAATATTTAATAGCAGTGGAGATAGTCATGGGCCTAGACGTATGAATTCAAGAGCACGCGAACAACAAGACCCGTCTGAAGTAAGGCCTAACGACTTAAGTATCGAATGCAAAAAAAATTCAAGTTTATAAATAGTGGTTAGAGACATTCGACATGCGCATGATGTAAAGAGTGAGCTGCAAAGGAGAAGTTTCATCCTCTCATATGCAATATAGGAACGGATGCAGACCGTTTTATAGGATTCATGCTGTTAATCCCTATCTTTACTATAATATGTAATATATTAGGAGAGAAATCGGTGGACTTTGAAATTGAACTACGCGTCGTTAGTAGACGAAATTTAGTTAGTAAATACCCTAGTCTTCCAACAATTTCAAATTTCACCTTCAAGGTCCTTTCTCTGAAGGGCCAAGGCGCTCCAACGGTGTATAATAGTAGATTTATTGCCGACAAATCTCAGCTTTCAAATAGTACTAACGTTGATAGCTGAGACTTTAAAGCCATCTAGCCAGAAAAGCAGCCAATACTTTGTCGACGAAATAATATATCGAAGGGGAGTGTTTTAGATCAGGCTATGTTAATTCTAACATGAATGCTAGTTCTGGCCAGTAACATCTCTCTTTACGTCACAGACAAGCTAAATATATGTATGAATATATATGAAATTTCCCGTCATTTTGTTAGCCTTTTGAATTATTGCAATTTTTAAACAAGTGGTCATTTTAATCATAGTAACGTGCTTTACATTATACGACTGTCACCGATCTTCGCGGCAGCTGATATATTCCGCGAGGAAACACTTCGTCTATAAATCCCTTGGCCTATTTGCGGATTTTGGCCTATGTTCTGATGTGCTTGCCTTCCTGACTATGCTGCATTAATCAAGTCTTGTAATAATCAGATGAAGCAATGCTTGAGCAGAATACCAAGTAAGGCGGAGTTTCTTATTAGAAATCTGTTATCGCTCGATGGGTTATTGAAGTTGTGTGTAGCATTGTTAAGCAGCAGTATCACGTCGGTCGTTGCCTGACCATGTAACTTTTCTGCCAACGTGTTGGCTCAGGAGAATAACCTGATCGGGGTAAAGTCTTTCTCCTACAACTGTTTTGTGGCTTTTGGTAGCTCATAATGCCACTCATCCTACAATGTGTAGAGTGCAATCTTGAACCGTAAACTGCTGTAAGGTATCAATCTTTCATCGTCGATATAGAAGTGTATCGCTTCTGTGTAGTGTATAGAAAGGACTTTTTTTTCTGACCTACAAGTGATGCAAAAAAGCATGTTGCAATTTTCGTTCACTTTATAAAAGCACATAGTGCATAGAGACTATTGACAACCGTCGTGTGAGTCACTCCCACCTCTGCAGAAGGTTCCTGAGTCGATTGTGTCGTGTTTTGCTTAGCTTGTGTTTGCAAGATCGTCAGCGCTCGTTTCTTGCGACGGTCTAGAGTGTGGTTTGTCTTGAATTGAACTCTTCAATTCTAAAGCGACTGAGCTAGAACTGGCACGTGGCAACGTTTGCTGTACGTTCGCCGTAGACTTTGTAAATAATTGTTTCTCCTTCCAGCACACAAGTGGTGAAGAAGACGATATCGGATAGTCCCATAACAAATTACCACTTCTAATGATAACAGGTCAATAAAGACAGGGCATACGCCCAGTGGTCGAAACAACGGCTATAGGGAATTTTATCTAAATACGAACAGCTAAACTGGCGCCATCTGTCGGCTCCAGCGAGAACTTTCTCACCAACCTTATATATATATAGCTACTGTATATACGCTAGGCGAATCCATCTTGTTTGTTGATTAATTATTCCTAGATTCGTAAGCTACAGTGTTCATATGTACGTTGCAATTTCTGGAAAAAAAAAGTCGGTAACGATATATCGATATGCAAGCTTTATATTGGCTGACTGATCTTTCTGGTATTGCTGGTGGAGTTGCTGCACGAGAATGGGGAGGTGTGTGAAGAGGCAGTTGTTCTCTGCTTTTGTTGTTGTTGGCTGTTATTAATGTTGAGCGACAATTGACTGCAGCTCCTTTTCTGGTGTTTGCGTTATTATTATTGTTATTGTTTATGTTGTTAATGTTGAGGAGGAGGCCGTTACGCTGGCGTATCGTAGCCTAAAGTTCAAGCCGAAAACGCCGCTACAAAATCGCTTCGGAATACGACAAATTAAACATGTATGTACATACACCTAAATGACATGCGTTCAACTCTAAGTTTGAAACTGGCTGATACGAGAATAGATACAGGTATAGATATTAGGTTAAAGGGTATGCGTCAAAAAGAGAAAGCCTGGATAGAGACAAAATATGATTACCCGCACCTCACATGCTTCAATTAAGGCTCAGAATAATAGTAATAACAGTAATCACGGTCATATACGAGGGGCGCGTCGATGCAAATTAACGATTTTAAAATAATAATAAGCATATGGATCTACGTTTGAACTATATATATATATATATATATATATATATATATATATATATATATATATATTACATTGATAGCTGACTGCAAAGGTTAATCAAAACTCTATTGTTACATTTGGTCTTATCCAGAAAGACAACCCACTGAGTGCAACCTGACTTAACGTTTACGTACTACCAAGCACACACGTAACAAAATCATCAAGCGTACAAAATATCAAGCAAAAAAATATATGCCAGACATTTTGATGAAATATCAGCTTGGAGATTGACTTGACATGCCCCGACAGAATTGGTTCATTTAGGTACTTAACTGTTAGATGGGTTTTCAATGACGCTTTCAGCAGTCTACAGGATAAACGCAACTAAATATGGCTATAACAGTGAGCTAAAGAATGCGAACGTAGTCCTAATCATATGCACAGTGGACTTCAGGTTTTATATAGTAGGCAAATCCCTTCGCTGGCGGACCAAAAAAGCACTTGAATAATTTACAATAAATATACGTTTTCAGGTGAATAATTACACTGATCGAGATATTTGAAAATCAGTCGCATTACGCTGGCTTGTCTGTGATCGATGACAAGTCCATAAGTTACTGTGAATAAGAACTTAAAGTTCACCGATGGCTTTTGACGCTGAAGATCGGAAGCCCTAGATTGTAAGAGACACTGAATCCATCCTTGTACTTGCGTATTATTCATATCTAGTATTTTTTTTCATCATATAGACAATCAATCGAATTGTTCGGTTGCTTCATCTCGTACCTGTGGACTATTACCGCGTTTTCCCGTATTTTGTTGTTGCTGTTGTTGTTGATTGCTGCTTGCCATTTGTTGTTGGCGAAACGAACCCCTGGACGCAGAGCGACGATGTCGCCGTGTGGAAGGACCCTTGTGGAGGCCTCCAGGAGATGCAGGACAGCCTGTTCCTGAGGTACCCCACAAGTCGGCCCCTTTTCTACTCCAACCATCGCCCTGCCAATAGAATATTTTATATAGGTTACTGGTACTATAACTATGTAAGTACTTATGTCAATCAAAATATGAGCTTGAACGGAAGGTTTATATTGTTTTAGCCACTTTAATTTATTGTAACTTTCGAGCAAGTGGACACATCTTAGACAAAATGGCCTCCTTTACTTCCAACGACTTTCGTCAATTTTTATGGCAGTTGACGTAACCTGCAGATTCAAAAGCTTCGTCATTGAAGGCGACCCATTTGCGGACCTCGGCCACTGTTTTGAAATATTTGTCTTCCCGGCTATGCGTTATTGACCGAAACAAATAATACTCGAATGGGGCAATGCCCGGGTTATGCGACGAATGGGATAGGGTTTCCATTGGATGTACGCATCACTGGATCATCAGAGCAATGTGCAATGTGGTACCGTCATGCAACAATACTAATTTGTCTGACCGTTTCCCAATCCAAGGTTTTTATCTGCCAGTTTCGTGACTTAGACGAATACCCGTATCCCATAACTCTTTCATGGAGTTTAAGTAATTCATAGTACAACACTCCCTTCCCAATACAGTGCATAGAGAGGTGCATTTTTTGATCAAGGGTACTCTTTCGTAGCTTCTAAGGGTCTGCCCGGGGTTTACAGACTCTGGTATGTATTCAAGGGTATAGTAAGAGTTCTATTTCTCATTGTCGGTAACGGTCTTGTGTATTTATTGTGGAAGCGACAAAAGCCATGTTCTTTTGTTTCATTTTTTGTGTTTTTCGATCTTTCCTGATTCATGTAAACGGCTGGGTCACTTTTGTGTGTGAAGAGAGTTTTCGGACCATCTGCGTTGCATCTTGCTTAAGGGGTGCACCTCCTTGCCGTTCGCTACGCGGCCATTCGGAACATGGTTTGTCGTTCAAGTTGACATCTTTAGTTCTGAAGAGATTATATTACGAGCGGCAAGCGGTTACGCTTACTGCGTATATGTTTCGACTTCGCAAACCGTTATTTTTTCAGCACAAAAATAGTGAGGAGTGCAGCTTTTCGAGCTTAATGACTGAACGTATAAAATCGCTATTTGTGACAACAACAGCTCGATGGGGCCAGGAAACACGCTCAATAGTCTAAAAAATCATCTTGGAAAATTCCAGTTAGATACCATGAGCCGACCTGATGCTGGCGCCATCTGTTGGCTCTAGCGGACGCTTAAACTTACATTTTCATTCGGTCAAAGTGACCTCAGAAGAAATGCGTAGTTTTAGTCCGGGTGTTTCACTATCATATCCTTTTCCATCTGATGTGTGTTTGTACAGAAAGCAGAAGCTGTAAGATATCACGTTTGTGTATTTCCCTCGAGCGATTTTTTTCGAATTTTAGTCGAACTTTAGTAATAGAAGGTCGAATTTTAAAACGGTAAACAAATACATGACAGTTTATATTTAGATTACAAGAAAGTGGCAATGGTAGTTTGGCAAGAATGGCAAGTTTTCCCTATGTTTGTTTCTCATATGCTAGTTCAAGGTGTCACCTTGTTCTTCGAAAATCATCTAAGCACATATACGTTAGGCTGATATATATATATACAGATGCAGTGTAATATTACATCGCCGATGTTTTGACTGGACTAAAATGTTGAGATTCATCGATATTAAAGGTTATTCAGTTTTAGCCTATATTTTTACAGGGGTAATCGATTCCTAAAAAAAAACGAGTCGTACGCAATCTGTCTCCTATCATTTGTAAAATCACGTTCTCCCTTCGGCCGTTTGGCCGTCACCAACGTATATCTCAAAACTCGAAGTACACCCTTTTTAAATAAATATAATCGACAAAGACCGAAGGAGTAAGGACGAACAATGATAAAACATTGATGAGTGTCGAATTGTTCTATCGACGGAAGCGCGGTCTATAGTAATGCAGTCATATGATGGTCTTGGCTCCACGCAAACTGATATTCAACCCATTGATTTTTGAGAGTTGTTCTCATTGAGGTACTCCGGTCCGTTATTGTGACGTGCTCGTGACATGGCAGTGTTTCGTTCTCGGAACGAACGGTAGCCTTGATGCCGGCCTCGAATTAAAGCTAACCTTGGTATACCTGTCAGCTTTCAAGCTAGCCTTAGTCGCTAAGTTAGGCATAGCGTTGACAAACACCATTTCTGCCTGGCTGACCGTTTTGTCAGGTAGATTTAGACGCGAGATAAAAATCGAGATTTCACTAAATGATCGATTTTTTATACAAGTGGAAGGTGCAGGGTCATTGGGTAGTAGTTGCCCAACGACGACAATGATAAGACATGGAAACCTATAAATTATAACAACAAAGTTTACTTTATGTCAATGATCGCTACAACTGAGTGGGCTCTAACCGTAGATCCAGGTGTCGACTATAGCAGACGACAGGATCCTTGTAAATAGGGAGATAATCAAGGATTAGATTAAGGGTCATTAATTAACTTATCAATTTCTTTTACCTGAGCGTGACATTACTATCGGAATGACTGACCGCTAGGATGCGCCGCTGGTATCTGTATAAAGCGTAAATTAATTATGAGACCAAAGTTTAAATATTGCATGATACTGCCTGTATAAGGTTGCCAAGGATACATAATTCGGTTTTAATATTTTCACACACTTCTACTGACAATGGTCGAATTTCTCAATGCTATCTAAAAAAAAAAAAAACGTAGAAACGTCTGTAGGATTTAATACGAAATATGGTGATAATTGGATTATTATAATAAAAAACTAACTAGTACACATAAACACAATTCTAAGTGCACAATGTAAACTATTTGCGCTAATTTGAATTATCAGTTTTAATGGTACGCAGTGACTGCCGTTGATTTTCCTAATCCTTCTCTGTGTAGGGCTACAACGGTCCGTAATGCAAACCGCATAAATTCAAAACACAGCGACGATCTATTTTTTAGGGAGCGTATAAAGTAGACAGTAGGGTGCCGGGTATCAACATTCCGGATCATAGCTTTGGTTAACGATCTGTATTTTATAGCCCTGATTATAACATCATTTTTTAGCTTTAGTATAATAAACTTTATCAGCGGTTTTTGAATAGGATTAGCATGAGAGTTTCACTATGCAGACACAAATTAAAAAGCCAATGCGTAGCAAGGTAATAATGAAAGATAAAAGAAACACTACCCGCACTTGTTTAACACTAGTGCTTGGAATACAACCGCTAAACGGAAAAATGCATTGCACTGAGTCTGTTACTTTACGAAGCGTGTGCAGATTTCGAGGTAAACAGAGTGGTAGCATTGGACATTACCGCTAGTTTCAGCTATTCGTAAAATATGGTAATCATAAACAAATAAAAAGTGCGAAATAGATAATAGGAGCAGCTATAATGACTCAAAGGCATGCACTTACATTGTACCTAGAAGCTGTGGGATCAAAGCTCCGTCTCGTCTGTCATCCAATTGACAACATTTATATTACATGTAGAAGCAACGTCTCGATAATTAGTTTTTCTAGATCCCGCTACCTTGAGTAGATTCAACAAGTGGTAATATCAATTCCTCGAAATGAAGTTTCGCTAGGAACTGTGAGATGTTTCTTTGCTCTCTCAGTGACTCTTTACAGAAGCCGTTTAAGGAACGACCTCTCGTTTGAGACCAACCTCGCGATTGTCAGTCGAAGGACAACTCCAACTCTAGAGCCGTACTCTCATCTAGTGATTAAGGTTATGCTCCATTACAAAATAATGCTAGATAATGACATGGATTGAGAAAATACAAGCTGTGCATGCAAGTGAAAACGACATGTTACGGATAGGACAATCAGGTCGAGGTAGCTAGACAGACCTTGCTATGGTCAATTAAATACTAGGGAATTAAGTGATCCAGGTTATGCGAACCTACGAAGGAATTTTTAGCTGTCGAAGCTTTCTCTAATCCAAATATGAACTTCGATTACAATCAGTATGATTAGCAGAAATACATACGAACACCCTCCAAGTCTGGTGGTATGTGTGAAAACTCGGAAGTTGGGCAATATTCCGCACGCTGCCTGGCACAAATCTCTCACACGCTAGAGGCTCTTCCAAGGGGAGTTCCCTTCCAAAGTCGCCATCTGGGGAGCTGAAGCCAAGGGTCGATTTTCAAATGAGAAACGAAGTTTACAGATCTGAACAATAGGGGTAAGTGTCAGAACAAAAAGCGTTCAGAATTATTCTTATCACAAAATGGCCCTAGCCATGCTACAGAAAAAACGTTATATATATGCTTGTTGTCGCAAGATTGTCATTGCCATTGACTTTTATGCAGTAAATGTTGCGGTAAAAGACGGCAGAATCTCAGGTGAGGCTTTTCTCTGCGACTTCTTAGAAGTAGCACTTCACTGACATCAGCCTTTTTCGCAAATAATGAGCTGGCGAACCTTGAGGAACATGTAGCTCACACTTGGCCGTTGTTTCGCTCAACGAAGCTAATTCACTCGGTGATATCGGGCACTTCCCTTCTGATACGTAGTAACGGATAACGAACATTCATTTGGTCAACGCCGGAGCTCACGAAATGTGTCTGGCCCATCGATGCCATCCTTATGGCGCGTGAAATCCACAGGATAATAGACGGACCTTTCATGTTCGACCTTTCTGACCAGCCTCAAACCAAACGTTTTCCGCCTTCCTTATAATAGTAACAATGATTTATAATGGCAGATAACTTTTGTATGTTTGTACATGAGTCGAACGACTGTTATGTGAGCTGCCATGCTCTAGCATTTACTGGAAAAAAGTAGATGAACATCGAAACCCGTAGCAATAATCAGGCCGAAGTTGTCCTACTGTATTTATACACTAAATCAAATTTTGATCATCGCCACGGTTATTGCTGTTGGCAAATTGACGACAAAGTACTCTTCGTGAAGAAAAAATATTGTTCCAATGGAACGTGAGAAAATCTCTTCGCACATATTTTAACGTCATCTGTTTTTATTCATATTTATTAACAGGAAAGAAGGCAACAAATACACGACAAATAATGGTAATATCCCAACCCAGCTAGTTGCAACCCAGTTTTTGATTCGACTTTGATAAATGGTATATTGGAAGTACCAAATGCTTCCTTAGAAGTTAGTTGGCTAATATACCTTAATTTAAGGTTCATAATTGTCTAACATTGTGTACGCCCCTTTACGATCGACCTTGAGCCGTTTTACGACTACCGGCAACTCTATCAGGGAGATCCTTGTTTTGCATAGTCATAATTAGGATTAATCGAAACGGCTGGCCAAAGGACCTATTCCCCGTACAAAACTTCGATTCTGCGGGTACTCGGATGAAATGTGACAACCTCAGAGACAAGTAAAGACAATGAATGCTGTCCTATTAGCATGCGTAGATGCCATCAAAACTAAAACAACGCTATAAAAGATCGCTGCATATTTTCTCAAAATAGACCCGTTCGGAAGGCATGTCCAGTTTGGTAGTGTACCATGATCTGCTGCGCTATGGAATGGGTCAGTCGCTCAACGTTAAGGTGAAAACGTGCGCAGGGGAATGGTAGATTCATTTACGAGGTCCTTTTTCGTGCTCTGGATATCATTCTTGGTAAATAACATCAGAAGGTCCGGAACGAACACTGAGCATACATATCAAACTGTGGACGCTACTGTTGTAAAAAATTGTGCCGAGCATCGCGGAAAGACAGCGCGCACGTTTCCATGAGTTAGGAACGGTTCTATTTTCTAGCAACGCTACACGTTAGCCAGCGAGTCCATCTAACCTAGGAACTGCTGACAATGCGGCTTGCTTCATTGGTATTATTATCGCACACATAAACGTGTAAATCTATTTTTATAGAATAAGAAGGATTGAATTTTGGTGGGCATGATAACATCGTCGACCCTTGAGCTATCGCTCGTAGCTTTTTTGTTTTCTCATAAAAGAGCCGGCCATACACGACACGGTGCCCTTGCTTTTGTCCATAAACCTATTAGCGTAGACTGCTAAGTCACGAGTCTATTTTTCATTATAACATTATGTTGCCTTCGATAGCTCTAGAACCTATATTCAGAGCTCAATAGAAGCATAGTTTCGTCAAGCAAAGTTGAGAGAAATGCTGAGTGGCTACGACCTCGCTAATAAATTTTTATTAATATCCTGCTTTGAAACCAATTTTTCTTTGCAGCCCCGCACGGTCAGAGATTTTCTAAATCACGAAGTAGTTTCTATTCCGTAAATAAAACATTTAATCTTATTAACTCTTTTGAAAAGGAAAAGCTATCTTAACATTAATAGTGTTATTAAGTAGCTATATGATGATTTGAAAGGTTATTTAAACCAAATAATCGATAATGATATTAAAATTAAATGATGGTAAGTGATATTTAGATCTAACAATCACCGTTTGGCGCACAGGGCAAGCTCAAAGCGCCGCATTACCTTTGTCCTGGTGGCAAAGTTATTGGCCTTGACACGGCATTTGCTTTATCCTGGTCACAGTACTCATAAAATCGCGGATCTACTTTTCAACTCGCAACAAGATGACCGTTTCACAATCTATTTATCTATTTGTCGTTGTTGATTCCGCTGCGTCTCATCGGTTTGGTAAGTTAAAACATTTAGTACAAGTTATTCTAAGCCTAACTTTTTTTTTGCTGAAATTATTCTCTCCCATTGTAACATGAGTACCCAACCATTAGTACACCTACTTCAATTAGAATTACCTCAAAGAAGGTGTTCCAGTGATAGTAGTTTGTCCCATAAACTCAATTAAGATTCAAAAAACGAATGGGGTTAGGGTTTTTATTTTTAGGTTAGTTTTATAAAAGATCACTATGCCAATTACCAGTCTCTGACGTAAACTATTCACCTGCTGCATGACTCGCATACGATCCATTTCGGTGAGAGTTGTGTAGTCTATGCTGTATCGTTGCCCGCGCCCGGAGCTGATTCCGCCCCCCACGACATTTTCGCCAGGCACTTGCTCCATCATGGTTCCGGCGCCCCCGCCTGAAAACACAAAAAGTGGTCGCATAGAACAAAAGTTATTTGTTTGTGGTGGTTTTTCATCACTTTAGCCAATTGTCGGCCGTATAGTTAGCCATAATTGACGAACCAAAACTTATGGAACTGTATTGAATAACACGTGCATTTATTAACACCAAACAAAAAAAAAAAAAAAAAAACACATAGCAGCTATATAGCTTTTGTTTTAGGGTGATGTCACGCAAGGTTAGTTACATCCGTTTAGTGACACGTGAATGTCTGCGGTAATCATTCATTTTGACCACAAGTCATAATTCGGTGCAAGAGCGGGTCACTTTTGTAGCGTGACAGCAAAAAAATGCAAGCGTCTTTAGGTCTTTGTTCGTAATCTTCGCTCCAATCATATGGAATCTATTTATCTAATTTTTTTTAATCTTAATAATATGATCCAGATATACAGGTATGATATGCTCAATCTACACCCGCGCACTCTCAGATGGGTCGGCTTCAATTCCAGCTCTCACGCTTCCGTTATTTACATTCGAAGAGGGTCTTGCGTAAGGCTAATTTAGTAATCTAAAGTTTCTTTCCGAAATTTCGTCCGTGTGACGATACCTGAATGAGTGATCTTCGATTTCAAAATTGTAAGTGTATTTTCAGCATAATGAAAACTTCTGATACTCTATAATCATCAGATAATGCCATCTAGCAACAGGAAGAAGCACTCGGGAAATACACGTATGCTGCTCAAATGCAGCAGCACCGATAGCGATGGCCCGATATTACGGTCAAAAAGGAAAATAAAGAGCTCCTAGTTGATGCTCTGTCAGTTTCCGATAAAAATCCGCCCCATATATATATATATATATATATATATAAGTATATGCCTAATTAACATGTTGTTTGTCATGAACCGCGGTATCGATCGAAAGACCGCCCACCATTAAGAATGACATTCTTGCTTTTTCTCAAAATAGCAGTCGTTAATGGTTCTTATGACAAGGCTAGACCTGTCTTTTCGCCCTATTTAGCCAGTAGATTCTTGTTTAATAGATAACGAGGCTGTAGCTAAGGGATTGTTCCTATATATACGTTTTTCGCATTTATTCCCAGTTCCTTTTTACCTCTTACCTGCACTAGTGAGTTTCGTTAAAGTATCATGCTTACCGGCTGATCTTCTGTGACGAACTTCTGTTTGTAGCTTTGTTTCGTGCTTTAAAAACAATACGCTTCCCTCGAAGTTCTTCTCATGTGTATACACACAGCTGTTGTTTAATGGTCTGCGAGTAGTCGTTTATCTTTTGAGATACCTTCTAGTGTCTCGTGGAGCTGAACGTACGATCGCAAAATTTGACAAAGAGGGAAAGAATATTCAAAGTGAGGCTTAAATCGAGTAGCAAATAGCTGAGAAGGTGGCAAGAGGTAACGGAAAAAACGACGATACCGGTACACGAGAAGCCGTACAATAAGAGGCCGGCAATGATACGTTTCTAGAAATCCTACTTCGCAGGTGAGTCACATGGAGAAAGAACGCCCAGTGTCGAATACGAATTTAATTCGAGGCGAGCACTGAACGGAAACATAGAAAAAAGCCTTACACTTTAAAAGCAACAACTGCAATCAAGTATAGAGCTAGAAACGATCAGTACGAGCGACCTGAACGATTCAATTGCAGAAGAGGATCGGAATTAAACAATTTCAGGTCCAGCATTGAACTTTAGGACTGATCAAGGGGTGTCGTCGTGCGGTCCACGTCTAATATTTATGATTGATAGTCATAAAGGAGGAGCAGACTTACCAAATAAACAAAGATTACTAACCGATTGGCTGCTATCTATAGAAACAAACAACATCACCCCTACTTTTGGTCGTAAAGTAAAAAAAAAAAAATAATTCACTATTTATTCTTGGGTCGGTATAAAAATATACGTACGGTTGCACAATTCGTACAAAAGATGATGTGACAAAAGGCCACCACCAAGGCCAACCAAAGACGGCTGTTAAACATCAAAAGGGCTTGTTTGTGAAAAAGGTTATGATGGATTACCAACATGTTTACAGAGAGGATAAAGCAAAGTAAGCGAAAGAACACTTAAGGCTAAATGTGACGCTGTTGATATTCGTTAGAATTAGAGTGTAAGGAGAAAAACACATCTATAAGCAAGGCACAAACACGCATGTAGGACTCCAGATATGGACAGCAAATCTTTAATTGATCAATTTTACTTTGTTGTAGGTTAGAGAAGGAGTGTTAACTGATACAGTCAAGCCATGGACAAAAACCTTTGCTGGAAGCCCTTCCATCGTAATACGGTTGTGAAACATCGATGGAAAAAAGCCGACCTTGTAGGGGAAAAAGGTCAACCCTTATATGGTACGTTGTTATCTGCATGAACAATGATTAATATTGTTGAAACCATAACGTAGCTCTAAACGTATAGGCAGGCGCTAATGCTTAATCACCGTCAAAACAAAAAAAAAAAGCTTTACGGCGAAAATACATAATTGTACGACGTCCGATTTATAATCCTTTGCACGCATGTCGCTCCAAGCCAGATTTTTCGACGAGACTTTTTACTCAGTGAAACCTTATTTTGTTGTATTATGATACAAAGCTCGTATAGATTAGATATGTAGTAGTAGATATATAGTATTAAATATAAGATAGTAAGGACTAGCGCACTATGGAAAATTTACTTTTTCATGGGACCCGCTAGCGTCTATCGATGCAAACGGTCGTACCAAGCCTGCCTTAATAAACATCCTCCATATGATATGTGTTGTAGTCTATTTAGATCCTTTCTACAGAAATACATCCATGTTCTTGAACAACAGCGCGTAAAAAGTCCGTCGTAAGCACGCCAGTGATCTTAAAAAATTACAGAGTCTAGTAAACCTTTATGGTTCAGTTCCGGTTAAGTACCCTGGCGAAGTAGGAAAACGTACACCTTCTCAAGCTATTAGGAAGAGCGAAAAGGCTTCCATAAATTAGGTGAGCAACAATTTTACCAGGTTCAACTTAATGATCTGACATGTTCTCAATAAAAGATTTCAAAGCGGGCTTCCCCTAAAAGCTCGAACACGCCTATTAACATAATAGGCCCATTCGCTGCAGCCGTCGCTTGACGGCTGCAGCGGCATTATCCATAGATATGGAAATAATACATACACAATTACATGTAACAAAAGAGCTACCGATAGATATCGGTTTGATCAAAATCAGATGAAACAGAAGTATGTACTTAAGCTTCGTGTTTCGCTAGATGTTTTGTTGTTCTTTTTTTTTTTTATTTAAGCGATCCTTTAGAAGGTCCATTCAGCAGAAATTTCCTTATTTACGAATAAAGGGGTCGGATCAGTTAACGACTTCTGATATATATATATATATATGCAATTTCCACTATATCTACAGATATATAGAAATAATACGATCTTTTATTTTGATCGTGAAATAATCAAACCTGAAAGAAAAGCAACGCTTAGAATAGAAACTATATTAACTAACTGGACAAACTATTTGTACGTAAAACAGGCCGAAATCGATCTTGTGATACAACGAACAGGTGGTGCAAGCCTCGTCACATACTACTATATAGCGTATCGCGCCAAACGCAGTCACGTATTATACAAACAAACAGTCGACGTGACAACTGTGAAACAATTTTATTCGAAACTATTACATTCCGTCACAGAAAGATGTTAGTAATATGACTTTCATTGTCACAATGTGCAACTCACATGTGTGTCACAATGTGTGGTTTTAATATTAAGGACGCCAGATCATTTTAGGGAGTAAAGATTTTAAAATTTCGTTGCTAAAATCAAATCATTCTGTTTTGTCGATGATATCGCTGGGTAAAGCAGTTCGAGCTTCACTCTCGACTTTTTTTTTTTATTGGCGAAAATTGTCAACGTAGAATTAGGGCTATTTCGTAAAGCCAATAGCATTCATAATATAATGAGAAACATATCGTCATAAATAAGCGATGTCTCGCTCTGCGTTGGAGGATACTGGACTAACAAAAAGATGGGCAAGCCTACCTCACACCAGTGCCCTCAAAAATCATCGTCTTTCCATGTCCAATAGAAGATTCGTGCACAAAGCCCAAAATACGACCAATTGTGCTAACTGAAAGCATCAATATTTGGCCATGATAATTAAGGACAGCTTACGTAGTAGACACTAAAACTAGTGGCTACCACGACCCTGTTGGAAGCCTAAAGCCGTTCGATAGTAATGAACGGGAACCCGACGAGCTATACTAGTTATATTTAGATTAAGACACTTGTGTGAATGTTAGCGAAATCTGTCAGAGAGTGATAAAAAGTCTCCTCTACCGGGTAAATAAAAGTTTTCCTTTGACTTCGTTAGCCGATAAAATATTCTTACAAAAACTGTTTAGGAGGCGTCATTAAGACGACCGCAGGCTTCGGCTTTAACATCCGATTCTTAAAAACAGACCTGCATCATGTCCTAGATAGACATTGTTAGTGATTAACCACTGCTATTGTTATCTCTGTCAAATCCTTTGCTGGGCCTACGAAAAATGCTCGATACGGACAAACGAATACGTATCTATAGACTGCGATCTCAGTGGCAGTAAAGGTAGCAGTTTAAATAAGTTATAAACGTGCAGTCTGAGTGGCATTAATGTAATAGATTGAAAATTTAATAGCCGCGCCGGCCGGATGGGAAATCGAAAATGTCTCATACCTGTATTGAATCGTCACAATCGTTTCTACTGTCTCCGATTGCCGGTTATAACTTATTGTTTTATTAATTTTTTGGTTTGGCTATTTTTACTGTATGAGATTGGAATCATCTCTTTCGTATACAGTCAAGCACCCCCCCCCCCCCCCCCACTAAAATGTCTAGCCGGTTATCGCGGCAGGAAGACCGTCGGCATAGTGTAATAGCGTTCATACTAGTCAGCGATTTCCTTCTTCGTTGCTCTGTAAAAGGCACCTTTCTTTAGCATTGACCACCTATAACACTATTGTTCTATAGCACAATGCTTACTTACCACCGCCACTGCCCATCAGTTTTGTACTAGCTTGTTGAAGAAGAAAACTCGTAACGTTAGTTGTTGTTATCGTCGTCGAAGTATTGCTTGCCGCGGTGGCAGCTGCCGAGGCTGTTGGCGAAGCTATTATATTGTTGATGGTTGTGCTTCCAGCCGTGGGCAGACTGTTTAACTGAGGAAATGGGAACGACTGCTGTTGGTATGATTGGCCTTTGTGGCTACTGGAAAAAGTAGCGCCCCCTCGAGGTGATTGGCTCCCACCGCCAGCGTTGTTTGCACCGCCGTTGCGAGTCCCACGAGACGAACGTGATCGTTGCATTCTGCCATGTTGTTGCTGGAACTGGTCTTGTTGTGTAGCATCTGTGCCTGCAGGAGACGTCCCCGACGGTGATATGCCTGAAGAAGTCCCTCCTCGTAACAGCATACTCAGGTCTCCACGTAACAATGGGGGGTGTGGCGAGACCGGCGATCTCTGGGGACTCACCGGCTGAAATAGTGACAACAACAGCGATACACGATACGAAAGATTAAGGTTCTACACTGCATAAGAATGAAACGTATAAGTTGAAAGATACAATCTGTTATAGTAACACAGTTGTAGTGGCTTAGAAAAACCAGAGTCCGGTTGAATAGCTGACGACATCTGCTTTAGGCCTCACACTCACATGAGGGCACAGGTAATACAAAATGACACAATTAAATAGAAATAAGTAGTTTAACTTGGCATTTGAGCAATTTAGTATGTGAGCATTATGTAAAACATTTCAAAGCAAACAAACAAAGCTAAAATGTTCAGTTGTGTGTTCTATTCATACATAATAATCAGGTAAGCACCCCAAGAGCCTAGGGACAGCGAGACGTAATGCAAACAGGTGACATACGAAATATACGTATAGAATATTTCGAATGCGAAAGTTACCTTGAGCGAGTAGTTTACATATGACAGTGTTTCCCCAACGAAAGTAACGTGCCCAAGGCTTAAATGCGCCAGCGCAATAAAGACCAGAGTGCAGACGGACGTACACACATTCGAGACCGATAGGCATATGCTGGTCTAAAAGTCGAGCTCTGAACACCAAGTCTATGAGGTTGCCTTGCGGTTCACACAATACCCGTCAGGCGTCCTACACAACGCTACAGTGGTAGCGATAAACTGACCCATCTGGGATGTTATGTAAAGCCATTAGTCCTGGCTAAAGCTTCCAAGCTCCTGGACTGTTCTGTGTATCTGCGACACTCGGTCCTAAGTTCATCACATTTTATACAATGTATATAGACATTCACCTAAGATCACGCGCAAACGTCAAAAACACACTTTTACATTTCCAGCTACTTATTATGATTCTATGTTCGCAATGCTTTCAGTTTATTAGCGCAGACTACGGTTCCTGGCGGAAAATACCAGAATGCTGGCCAGGTCAGAAGACGCCTGGAGGCAAGGGTTTGACATAGGAAAGGGTGTTGTCTGGTACACTACTGGACATATTTATACTGTAGTTTTGGTAACCTAAACATTTTATATACTATTCATATATGTATCGATACAAAATATATAGCAATTAGACAAGATGGATGTTCTTCAGAAAAGGAATTTTTTTAATTGTCATGAAGCTACGGTTGCGGTGAGAAGCGACATGATCACCATGTCAGGCGTAATGCAGCAAGGCCTTAGCCGGAGGAAGTTCTTGCAGGGTAGAATTTCGTATCGCGGGATCTGGTGAAGCCCCCACACCGAGTAACAGCTTCCTTTTGTATCAATTAACCAACTAGCACAATTAATACGTTCAAGGCTTAAAGCTGTCGTCATATTCCTTATTAATTTCTCTTAAAACACATTACTTTTTTACGTTATTACTCCTAGGGATCGGTTAAGTGGGTGGAAGTTATCTGTCTTTCACAAAGGTGTCTGATGTGTGCGCCATTTACTTTTAATTTACATTGAGCAGCGGCGGGTTCATGCTGACCTGGCACTGTGACATGACTAGAAAAACAATACTAGAGTCTAATGTCATGTTGCTTAGTAAAAAACGGGAGAGTTTTTCTAACGATATCGTCGCTTGTTCGAAAACAATCTAGCTCGACAGGAAATAAGGTTCTTTAGATATATCTCGGGTGATATTGGACGGTCTACTTCAAGCTGCGTGAACTCGAGCGCACCTTACCTATTTCCTCATTAGATAACAAGTTTTCAATTAACTTGTGACGTAGATTTTAACTGTGCACGCTATGTACACTTGGATAAACGTTTCATTTTTTGGACGGGAACTGATTCATAGCAGGACATGACGTTGCTCAATGGCTAAAAACTCTATGCGGAATCCGGTGTTTTCGTCAAGTAAAAATCATCTGCATAAGGATAAACTCGGATCATCAGGCTTATTGTGACGGTGTTAAAAAAACAAGGCAAATCAGTTACAATGGACGGTTTCTAGAATTATGTTAAACTATATTCTTCACCCTTGCACGCACTAGGAACTGCTCAGGATAGCCAGATGCATCCGTCTGCGCTAAAAGAGATTATATTGAAAAGGACGCGAAAAGGTTAAACGTAGTCGTCCAAGTAACAAAACCTAGTCTGTCGACCATAAACGTATTTCGACCGCTTCACTTCTGTGAAGGTACGCAGTCCAGATGTCACGTCGACGTATGTATCATGAAACTGATAATCAACTTACTGATCCAAATCACTATTTAACAGGAAGATGATTTAACAGTGAAGACTGAAATACGCTATACTGATTTTTTAATTATGCATGACAGATCACGAAGGGTATTATCTGAAGACACCAATCGATCACAATTTTTCGCCATAGAGAGGAAGCGAAATTCTGCTACCACAGCGTTGTTAATATAATTCCCAGTGAGCTCCTAGTATTTGTTTAGGCTTTCACAACGTTTGACGTCAGAATTTGCACATTTTCCGCAGTGTACTAAGAACTTGCCCATAGTCTCCTCGTATTCGACAAGAGGGTGTCCAAATTGCAATAGCGCGGTGTATTCTTTATTAAGACAAAAGTTATTCTATTAGCCAGCTGCATGGCAACAGGCCATTTAGGTCCGTTCGTACAAGAAAGAACGATCGTAAACATTCAATGCAGAGCAACTGATTATGACCAATATAGTTGGGACTAATATAGCGCTAGGACACCGTGTCCACTGTCTGTGATAGTACAAAAATAAGTCAAATATGAAGAAAATAGTCTGCGCTCTCCTGCCATATAATAATGGTGCCATTAAGTTTACCATCGTTTCAAAAGTTGCGTCTGACAGTTGTTCCGTTACTTGGTTAGCCGAGGCAAACAACCGATACAACCTTCGAAAGGCCAAAAATGCTAGATAGGCTCCGTATTATCAGGACCGGGCGAACGCAAAGAAAAAAATCAATCAACGTGGCCTAATCATATTAAACACCTAACCTAACCTAACCTAAAAGTATATAAACGTTCTAATATTTCACCCTGATATGCTTACCTTATAAAAGATGAAAGTAGACAATTGGTTAAAATTGAAACTATGTTAGTGAATGAACAGTTAATAATCAGAGCAATAACTAATTTGGTAGGTACTACTTTTCAAACGTTCTATATTCGATCTTAGTTAATTGTACTTTTCGTCTTTTGAAGAGTTCGTTGAGCATTTAAAATGAAGAAAAATTGAAAATCGGGTGCTCTAAGCGAGCAGCGACAGATTCAGCCATGTTTGGCATATGAAATTTTTGTAAAGATGAACCCAAATAGATGGCTGGGGTCCGCAACTATAAGCCAAAGCAAGCCTCCGGAATTTCGCCTAGAGCCACAAAATCTTATCTGAAAATGCTGTGACTCGTTTTTGCCTACGATTGTCTAACGACCCAATGATTTGTTTTACATCTGGACTTCAGAGGTACAAGCTGATAAACACTAACTTATCGTCATAGGTCCTTCTAGTAAAAACGTTTCGCGCACATAATCGGGGTTGAGCTTTGTTCGAATTAGCTAACAATTCAGTGATGCCTAGAGCACTTCAGTTTCGTTTGTTTATATCTAGCAGGGGTGCAAAACCTTTGCTCTGTATGATTAAGAATCAAAGCGGTCTATCGTTTCCCCAGTTTCGCTGAGTTTTACGCTATACTTGATTTTCATCATAATATTGCAATCCTATAATAACTTTAATAGTTTCACTGTCGTTCTATACCGTACCAAGCAAATTTAAAATTCGAAAACGATAATTATACTGTGTATTTGGACAGTGGTGCTTACTCAAATGTGTAGTTTCCAGTAATTTAGTCCTCGGCCAATAAATTGATAGCCGTACGCGTCACTGTATGCGTACCTTGAAGGCAATTTTTAGGCACCTAAAGAATACACAATTGCCTTTTGATCTTAAGATTCTAGCGGGGCACATAACATAACAACTCAAGTCTACAAAGTTTGAAATAAACAGCATCTTTTTAGCTGTTTTTGTTGAGCAGCGAAAGTGACATGTTTACGCCTATATGTAGAAATCCATCGTCTTATCGAAGCTATTGTGTCTCCGTAAGAACCCCCATAAAAATGCATAACCGCATCATTTAAGGGTGCTTGCAAAACTTTTTCATGAAGAATTTTCTACACACATACTCTTTTTTCGTACCGGTATACATATCTTCCGGCCTATTCCCCTGGAGCAGTTGAGGTTATGATAAAAAATAAGCATTTAGGTTGCTTATAGTCATTGTGCTTGGGCCAGCAGCCGGTACAATGTTTGGACGCTTATAAAGAGGGCTGGAGGTATGGAAACCATCGGAAATGCTCAATGTATGTCAGGGTTAATGACGACTGGTCGAGGGCCGTTGGTAGTGCCGTAGACAAAGAACAACTGTGAAGACTGTATACAACTGTGTATACATAAGGTAGATTAGATGTAAGCAGAAACAACCGAAATGAAAATAAGTAATAATTAAAAATACATATACGTAAACATGTAATAAAACTTAGATTATGCTAGTCAATGGGATATTGATATAGCCAAGAAGAGACGGAAAATCTTAAGGGAACATTTCGAACATCGAGCATACCGTTATGGAGATAAAAAGCAAAACACAGTCACAGTAGCACGATAAGAGATCGAATTAGCTTAGGCAGGGGGTGAAGTTTACATCTTGAGGCACGAATTCTGAGCAGCTTTTCTATACATAGTTTGGAGCAAGGCGTAAATATTTACCTACTGATGCTTCGTCTTACTTCTGTGCATATTCAGGACGCTTCAGAACGTCATTGTTTAGACCTAGTTATCCTTTGTCATTTTAATTTCTATATGCACCGAAAGACACTGGTCAGTCATAGGTCTATTAGTCCAATGTATACATACATATATACGCTTATGTATGACAGACGCTGCGCGGGAGGCTATCATGTAAGACGGTGGCGTCGACATCATTTCAAACTGTAGCTAGCTTCAGATAATCTGCTATTAAAAAATAACCAAGTAGTTTTTTTACTGGTATTTCGTTATATTGAATATTGATAGCAACGGCGAAAGCCAACTGGCTTGTAAGAAAATGATTTAAGAGAGCAGTAGCCTTTATAGAGAAAGAGTCTATGTGGGAGCACTGCGTGGGTTTTTGGGGTATCCTTTTTTTTGGTTCTGGACCCGTGCCAAAGTGGGCTGCGAATTGTGGTCCGACGCTTTCACGTAGTGACGCACGTGACGGATGCTTTTAGTGCTGATCGATAAACGATCGTGTTGGGAACTCGATTACAGCAAATTCCAGGATCGTCCGCACATCCTAATTCAATTCAAATGCGCCTTAACCCTGTCAAGGGGCAACATAAAGTAGATTGCAGTGGTCCGTTACGCCCCTTCTACTTTACGATTAGAAATCTTCTAATAGAAGCCATCCATAGAAGAAAAAAGAACTTGTAGCATTTTAAGAGAAAAGGCCTTGCTTTCACTAGAAAGCGATCTAAATTTGTTCTCTGCTTAGGCAAGGTGTTTCCTTGCTTTGCTTATCCGCCACTTCATCGTTCTTGTAATTCGCCGCACCTCAAGGTTTGCGTGATTAAACGCGATCGTATATTTCGTTTATTTAATTTTATTAAAGGTGCCTCTTCGAGATATTTCCGGTACTGGACACGCTCCGATCAATCCTTTTTCAATTGGCATAATCTGTTGCGAGTCGACGGTAGCATCAATTGTATTGCGTGTAGCCTTTCTAGGATTAGTCATTAGTCGGCTCCTTAATCCATTTAAATTTCCATTATTGACTTTAGCATAGGCATAGTAGACTAACCGATGAAGTCCCTGTTTAATCTCTGCTCTGTCACAAGTATTGTTGGTGATATCAAGGTTATATATCAGTTTTGGCCCTGCCTGGTTCAAGCAGGTTTTCGACAAAAAAAACCGTATTACAAATAAGCCTAAATTTAAAGCCAGCTTATTGCTAACTCATATCGTACTGATATTTCATTAAAGTATTTTACCCACAGTATCGGACATTTTCAAAGTAATTCGGTATAAAGAAGATTTAATAATTTGTTAAGAGTAAAAAGTTATTAATTCTTCGAAGTTAATGGTAAAGTTTTGTCCTACACAGATTAAGACCGATGTTATTTGGCTGGCGATGCTAAACGTTTATAGGCGAACACCACTGGCAATCGTTTATTGTTGTGCATTGTCCTTCAAACTTATCAATCCTGTTAGGACGATTACCTCTCGTCTAAAAAGCTCTAGCCAGTCTACCCACCGGTAACCACGAAGATCGCGTAGAGTTGAACACTCAAGCTCAGGACTCCAAAATCCTGGCAACAAAGATCTCGCTAATATTGGCTCGTTTTTCTTAAGTAAAAGGCTTATCCGGGCCAGTGGAATACGAGTCAAAATGATCCAGGCTAGTATTGTCAGTCCCGTTCTGATGCTCCCATTGTGGACCTCAGCAAAAATCGAATTCCATGTTCTAGATAATAGTTCACTAATTCGGGCAGTTGTTTATTAGCTGTTGGTCGGTCGTTTTTTTTCTGCACAGATCCTGAAGTCTATGCCAAATTACACAATTGTCCTATTTTTGTGTTTAAAGCTTATGAAAATAAAGGTCATTATGTATGTACGATCTTACAACATCTAAAAACCAATAGCCCTTACAGGAGAAACGTCTCTAGTTAAATGGCCCGCACGGTGGGCGTACCATCGCTAACGCGGTTTTTTTTAGAGACATAGCCGTGACCCACAGTGAATTAGCAGACTGACCTCGGTCAACCCTAATTGGTGCCTCATTGAGACCGTCCCTTTTGATCTCAGAATACGCTATGAACATTCTTTCATATCCAGAAGAGCACAAAGGTGTCTGTTTGAAAAGAAGTAAAGACGGGAAAGCAGCTGCAGATCTTAGTCTGGGCTAGACTTGGGCGCTGAACGTATGATGTCTGCAAACATGTCTTCGATATTCGTTTGTATAACACTGACGAGAATCTCAACTCCGATGAAAATTGTAGAACGATAGGGATGCTATGTGCAGGCTGATAAGCCGCAACGATGCAGGTCAGCCGACTCAGGTAGGACCTAAGAATCGACTCAGTTAGAGCCGTACGTTACCCCTATGTTTAGGAAAGCAATCATGGCATGAGATACATTTTAAAGATACTAATCACTTGGTTTGGCTTAACTCTCAAACAAAATTGGGTCTGACATTTGTTGAAGCATAACGATTCATGCGGCTCTAAATAATCCGCGTGTGGGTAAGGTCTTGTTCTCATAACTGCAACGGAAGTAGGTCTATACAAACTGTTTCGTAGGAAGACATTTTCTATTAACGTTTTTTTTTTATAAGTGTGCCAATTATTTCAAATCGTGTTTGTTTGTTTGTTATGGCCATTCAGATTACTATTTCCTATCATTACTTCGAGTCTCCGGCACCTTCTCTTTTTTATCTAACATTTCGCTGAGGCTATGAGTGATGATGATAGATCACATTTCTTTAGTATTCTTTTTTATCTGATCAATTCAATAAAAGCTTGGACGAAATGATTTACACTCGAGTTAATTTTCATAATAATACTCATGACATAGCTCTTTTGCAGCAAAACACAAAGGCTGAGGGGTGCAAAGGCTTCCTTCAGGCCCAGATGTCCGTCGGCTCGCTATAAAAGGAAAGACCAAGAAAATATTAAGCATTTCCGTGATTAACTTTAATGAAATTTGAAGCAATTTTGCTGGGCCTGAGTCTCCAAGCTTTCGGGTAAGAGCTGACTGAACTCACATCGGCAAAATTGGTTGAGATCTTTGCTGCGGAGTGATTGTTAATGAATACTCTGCGAATTGTACAGGAGATTACATTTGTATGAGCTTCCTGGAAAATTAGCCTCACCACCAGAACGTTTTCTATCTGGGGTCTATAAACAGTGGCGAAGCCGAAAAATTGAGTTGTCGTTTTTTCTTCATGACCATTTCTGTTAAGATTATGCGGGATTCTTTTCACCTTTATAATATCGCCACTTATTTGCCAAACATTTTTTCAACACTCTATGTTATGTCAAACGACTTTACTGTTTCAACAGGCCACAATCGCTGACCCTTGATGACTAGAAATTTTTCAACGTAGGCACTAAAAGTAGGAGAATCTGAGACAAAGTGACGATGACATTTCTCTAAGGAGACATTCTTCTGTCCCTCTATAGATTGTTGTACTGCGATCAGCTATATGAACACAGATCTTGAGCGGAGAGTGCCGGAAAAAGTCAACCGAGCAGGAAGTCGATCGTGAAGAGGACAAAGGAAGGACGACAATCGTCGTTTAGCTGCATTACCTTCAATGATTGTTACGGTATGTTGATACGACACGCTTGTTGTTACTTCTAACGCTTCCTCACTGTCCTAGTTACGTGGTCTCTCTCCTTTTGCCTTTGGGTGGTCGTGCTACTAACGGTGATGGTGGTAAAGCATTTAATGATAGCGGCAATTTGTACTATAAAAGCTCTTGTACCGGAAAATTCTCGATCAAGGCTGACTTAATGCCAGGCGACCATTTTGAATTCAGTTCTTTCCGTGGAGGCAACTTGATCAAGAATGGCGTAAGGAAAACAAAACTCAAGGTAGTCACATCCGTATTATACAGCCACCTGGAACAACTTGTTCGCATATCTGGCTCGCCCTTAAAAGTCGTGCGCTAACCGAATTAAGACACCCCATATTGTGTCAAATGCTCAACTGAAAATAAACAATATAAGGCTTCGTATGGATTAAAATATTCCCATACGCACACGCGCATGCAGACAGCAGAAACATTCATCAGAAGCAAACAGCTTCTCATTCAAACTATAAACTCCCTTTGCACTAGAGCATTATTTAACCAGTGACTGTTCACAAACTATGGTTTTGTGTGTTACGACATGTAGGAATTCTCTTCTTATTAGATATATATATATATATATATATATATATATATATATATATATACTATTATAAAACCAAAGAAAGACATATTCGTATTATGAAAGTGAATGAACTTAATAAATGCTGGTAGCTCTCGATTCTGTCTTTTGACATGCGGAACGAACATATAGCTTAACGTTTTTTTTTGTTACAATAGTAGATATTCCTACGATAACAAATGTAGCATTAAGCATTCATTACTTAATTTCTTATATTTCAATCATGCCATTTCTCATTTATAATATATTATAATAATTTAATGGAAACGCAAAATGACCTTCTTACAGGGCAGCTTAATGGAGTTCGCGTGGAGCATTGCCTATTGTGATGATTCGCTAATCTCGCAGGGGAATTAGTTGGGTCGACGATTGTTGCGAGTCTTGGCCAAACCTTAAAGAACACACACTTAACAGCGAATCTATGCATGAGGTAAGTCTGTGGGATATATTTTATGAGGAGACTGTTTACAAAACTGGTGTGCTCGTAGCCGGATAGACGAAGCTAGAAGTTTGCTATAATTAACGAAATATTGTACTAATAATAATATGTACGGTATATTTTATAGTAGTTTTACGCTACTACGACTAATTACAAACGTAGTCTTCAATGCTTACGCAGTGGAAATACAATAACAATTTATCCGTCAGGTATATTATCTCCGTCTAAAAGGAACCGTCCATGATGTAGATTTAGCATACTACATTTTAACTCTTTGTGGGACAGAGTGAATTTTTAGCAAGATAGATTATCAGCTTTCTTTGAATAAGGTGCAATCATTAGGTGTTGCCTTTAAGATTACGCCTTGATAAAAAGCCTTTGCATCGGCTTCAATTTTCAAAGTGAGATCTATTTGCTTTTCGAAATCTAGGAATCCTGCTTCAAACACTCGCGCGTGACCTCTGTAAACTGTAAAATATGAGACGTAGTTAGATGATGTAAAGTCGTATGTCGAATGCTAAAGCTCATAAGAATTATTTAGCAGGCCTCAGCTGGGCTGAACGGAGTCGAACGCAATAACGTCTTCCTGAATGTGCAATAGTACCCAACGTGTTTGGTAGTACTGGGTGTTATCTCAAGGAACAAAAGAGCATCGAAGTGGGTGTATATACAGAAATGTTGGTCGTCACTTGAAATATCAATACGCGTCAAATTGTGCTTAGTACATGATAATATGTTAACGACGTCTCGATCTATGAATCTATCCAACGTGTAATATAGCACGTATGACTTGCGATAACATGCAGAATTTACTTACGAAATCATTACACCGTAGTTAGTGCACTTGCAATGGCTGTTGTGGTTGTCGTAGACAATGTTTTTTATCCGGCACATGTTTCGCATCAAATCATATCGCTCGATTTTTGAGAGGAAAAAAAAACGTTCTTTTTTGTATTATAGTGTAATTACTATATTGTAATTCGACATACAGGTATGCTGAAGCTTTATGGTAATTCAGACTCTGTATCGCAAGTCGCTCGGTCCTTCGCTTCGGTGAAAACGTCTCGAAACGGGAATCTGGGGCGTTTTGTATCAGCATCTCACGTCTTCGGGGACCAGCTTTTATAGATTCGTCTTCGGCAAGTTGATGATATAAACTTACATGGAACTATCTATCGTGCAACGTTCATCGCAAAGGGTTCGGAGTGCGTCGTATTCGTTGGGCGTGCCAGATACAAATCTGTATGTTGGTGCCGGGTCCCTTAGATTGTAGCTAAATAGATTACAACTAGCGGCGTAAAACTGTCTGGAGCACACTGGAATCTTTGCGTTGATTAGATAAGTCTAGAGGCCATAAATAGGCTTATTCTTCTTTATTAATCTTACTCGAAAATATGTACATGCGGATAACTTAATACTGGATAAAGTTATTAATTACATTAGGCAAATTGCGGGTTAGAATTTTTTTCAAACGATAATATGGTCAATAATAATAGAGAGACATCGTTGCGATTAACTAACAACGTTAGCAAATGATTGCTCCTTTGTGTGTACTTGCATAGTTTGTATAGAAAGCCGATGAAAGTTCATGTGAAGTTACTGCCGGAAGCATTGTCGTTTGGAAAGGTTGATTACAGCAGTTGGCCATTGCATTGCACAAACACTAACTCTAGAAAATCATAGTGTAGAAAATATAATGATATTTATTACTCGCAGTGTTGTATCTGCCAATGCCAAACATAAAGTAAGCAGACGCTGGCACGATTTCGTCGACGTTTTCTTTCTTTTTCAACGTTTTACAGACCGTAAACTCGCAACGCTTTTACTGCTGACCCATCAGAGATCGTTTGAAAGAGCGGGAATGCTTACTGACGATTAGCAGACTACGAAGAGGGCATCGGCTACGAATAGTCAGACTGCTTCTGTTCGGTTAAAACACCTGTCTAATAAAGGCCGACACGACAAACCCGGTGTCATACGGGGGGTGGCATATAAGCGCAGATTATAGTGACTGGAACAGCCGTTGCTCGCATCTATGTGAAGAAAAATCAACAAAACGAGGGCCTCTTCCTATCCATAGGTTTTGAAAATAGATAAACTCTGCTTATCTACGAATCGTATTTGTTAAAATGTTATTACGTGTTTATCAATTACTGACATTTTTATCGTTAAAATGGTGGTCTCAGACCTCATAAAGGAAAAATAGGAAGAGTTAGCGTTATCATTGCAACGAGGAAAAGTGACAGCGTAATCGTCAATCAGCTCTCACTTAAACATGTATAATGTTCGGTATATTGACTGTTCATAACCGTTATAGCAAGCGATGTACCGGAAACTCCAGCGTCCCAGTTTAACGGTATCGTGAAAAAGGTTACGGTCCTTCACAGCTTGTTAAGGCGGGTTTCAAAATAATTTGCCGTTAAACTGCTTCTTACAGTTTGCTCTATTCCATTTCAATACCTCTAAGACAAAGTGTTTTATTCTGCTTCGACTGTTTTCCGCCGTGTTCATCAAAATCCAATCTCGCTTTATCGAAGATCTCAGCCCGAACAGAAAGAATCCTTTCCCAAACTCACCAAGCGAGCGCCCGTCACCTCTAAACTCATTTACGCCCACGAGCACTTTCATAGCACTCTCTATTTGAACTGCATTACAACAGCTGGAAAGAGAACTCTTGGCCGGAGGGCCTGAAGGCACTTCCGAATCACGTTGCTACGACAACAACAATCATCATCATCAAAGTTGATGAAGTTATCCAATATTGAAGATTCTGCCCGCGTAGTCCCGCAGAGTAGCCCTGTGGAGGACCCTGTTTGGGAAGGAACTACGACAGAGTCGACAATACCCATGTCCTTGCTGAGATGCCATGAGATGTCAAGACAAGAACGTAGCTGTAAGGGCTGTTTTTCGCTAAGAGAAATGCGCAAGTACGTAAGTACGTGCATACATAGACATTAATCACATCGCCGACGCAGGACAGCCACATCAATAGCAGGCCACTCAAACTGTGATACCTGTCACTCGTCTGTCGACACATCGACCTGATGTATAGAGAGATCGAGGCGTTACAGGCACGATAGTCTTGCAGCAGCGTTATGCCCGTGTTGTACAGCGGTGTCACGGCTTAACTCATTCAATAATGCACACTTTTAGGAGGTTAAGTATGAATTAGGCAACTGGATAGATACCTAATATAGTGCTATTAAGTTATCAGTTGATCGGGCTAGCATCCGACGTAGCTGGTAGTCATTCTAGTTGCAATTAAATAATACGAAAAGTTTTCTTTATTTATAGGACACCGAATCCCAGTGCTACCCATTAGCGTTCCGATAAGAATCACACGAAAAAATATTGTATTTTTGCTAAAAATTACATTATGGACACTGTCGTAACTTACAATTGACAGTAGGTACTGATCGGCATGTATTTCATAACGGTGTATATCGGAATAGCAGTGAAGGGCATCGCATTCATATTAGTTTATATCAATCATTTGTATTTCCTTTACGAACAGCAATGATTAGGCCCCTTTGACTGGTATACGTTCGTTATTAGCATATTAAAGGACTATCATAAACAACAGGAATGGGAGCCATTCGACTCTTCTGTACTTTGTTTCGCTATCTTCGAAAATCGCTCACAATTAAATGCTCGAAAAATGTCAACAAATTTGCAAAGGACTGCACGATTGCTAAATGGCTAAATGCTACAAGCGGAAAGGCGCCAAAGGTAGGGTTTGTCGCTGGCGGCGCAAAACTTGTTTCAAACGTTCGCTAACTTTTCCTTGTAAGCCTGTTTGCAAATTGCACTGCTTTTCCCGATCGAATATATGTACTTGAATGTCGACTGCTGAACTTTAAGTTAGCCCGTATCCAAGTTGAACTTCGGCTGGGTCCGAGCAGCTGAATTGCCGTTTTCGAAGTAACGCCACGTCAGTCCGAACTATAATTTTCCCTCTCATAATGGAGGTTATGTTCAGGTTGTGTTCCTTAAGCGCACAAAAGGTATACCGATATTTGTCTAGCATTATTTCAGTTAACCAGAGCATCGCTTATCATCAAATTGTCTAGAGTATTCATAGAACAACCGTTTTACGAGTCTGGAACTGTGGACTTGATTCTTAGTCACACAAGCGCATGTATTGCGTGATTGGTCGAACTAATAGGTACAATTTGGTACATTCTTAGCTTTTTTTTATGTCAACGATGCCAAACTATTCAATAGCATATATATGTATACATATACATCATTTTTGATAAATATTATTATTTTCCTTGTCGCAATTTCTGGAAAATCATTTGCTAGTTATCACGGGAACTTTACCATAGTCGCTTGGACATGATCACTGGGTCGAGTTCGCGAATACTTTTTGAAAAGGCGTTGCATACCGCCTCAGTCGGCTCTTTGCAGACCATCCTTAGGAGTCTCTCCTGGCACGTTAGCCTATCGTGGACTTTGGTGACAGATAGGTCGCGCGAGATACTCATTTCCTTCTGTATTCCAAAAGTCAGGACTCGTCGTGACGTACAAGGAACAGGTGCAGTTTTATGGCCAACATCCATGAATCTTTCAATTTTCCCCTCAACGATCTCAAGTACGACTTATATAATTTTATTCAAAATGTTTGATTTTACTCAAAATATTAAGATAGCATCATAAGTATAAGATACTGCGCGGTATACTTCATATGGTATGAAATGCACATAGACGGTGAATATAGAAAAAGCCACTTAGCCAAAACTTAGCAAGCCCCTAGCTCTATTTCTTCCCAATAATATTCCAGCAGATAACCCACGAAATGGGGCCAAACCTGAGATCCGATTGTTTCGTCACATCCTATAGCCAAAAGCTTTCTATGATAGCACTTGTAGCATGGACATTATTTGATTAAAGGCTCTGACGAAGTTGAACATTGCCCCTACATAAAGCTTGCCACCCTAACCTACGTTTAGAACTTCGCCACGATTGACTTATGGTCAAATCGGTAAATCGGACATGACGAAACGCTTTTATCTCTAACTTTTTACCACTATTTTCAATACCTTGGGGAGATATTGAACCTATGTAATAGCACAGAGTCTCTCGTACATAGCAATGTTACTTTAATTTGTTTAGAAGATAGCCTATTTTCATGGTATAACAGAGGATGTGGGAAATAGTATTCGCTAAAGTATAAATATACTTTAGCACTTGAGTACTTGAGAAGTTGGCTGCGTGCTTTCCTATTAGCTTATTAGCTACTTCGGTACATTTGATGTCCGTGCTAATCTTGGTGGCGTCTCCAGCGCCAAAAAAGAAGTGAAATTCAAATTGTCAAATAACAGTAGAGAGAGAGTGGATATGCTTGCGTTCAGCTTGTGTAACTACCCTCTAAACACCATTGTTCGAGAAACACCAGTGAAATATATCAAATCCCCTTCAAAAGGCTTTAATTTTACTTGTCCTCTCACAAATTTCAATGAACAGTTGCTACATGCTGAATGGATTTATTTTAAACTAACTGAATTTCTTTGTGTACGAAAGAATTTATACCGTGACTCAATGCTCGAGGGAAAGCTTTCACGGTTGCGAGAGTATGGGGGTGTACTAGATAGCCCCCGCTGATCCTCGTTGATATATTTGCAAAGTCGTTCAAGAGAAAAATCGAGTCTTTTTCTTGTTTATGGTGGTAACAGACGTCTTCTATAGTGCGAAAGTAGATCTAATGCAGTGTCAGTATCTTCAGCTTTTATCACCCTGAACTAGCTGATTCTCGTGAGTGATCTTCGAAAGGGGGTGGTTGTTTTTGTCTAATTTTCTTGGCAACGTCATGAGATGGCGCTTGCGGGTCTGAAAATTTGAGAAAACTTTGATAGTTATTTGAAAGCACAGAAATTGTTCCAACAAATGATTGAACAAACCAAAAAAACAAGTTTATCAGTCCCGTATGGTCCAACCAGATCTCTGATGTAGGTCGAATAATTTAATCAATCTTATGCCTTTATCTTCTAGACTTGAAAACTAGCCTGATGGTGTACTGTATTTGTCTTTTAAACCGAAGTACACATAACCGGGCGTAGACATACATCGTTTCGTGCCCGCAGCCCCTAGTCTGAAGTATCTTCCCAGGCTGTAATAAGAACAGGTACTCTTCAGTACAACGCCTTTCCTTAAGACCTAATTTAAATGCACGAAGAGGTTTTTCTGTTGGCAGGAGGCTCGGTAATTAAGGTATGAGTATGCCGCCGATATACATTTCTCTACAATCCCTAGGTAATGCCCATCGGGGCATCAATATAGAATTAGATGAGATGATTGTATAGAGTTTACTCTCTGTATACTTTTTTTTTTAACGAGCCACTTCTCAAAATAGGGCATAGAAGTTGCTCGACATGTAAACTAATAATACTATAGACTGTAAACTATAAAAGCCATAAGTGTAAACTGTATAATTTTAAAGACATACGGATTTGACGGTGAAAGGAAAGCAAATTATAGGTTGAGTATAGAGGTAGATATGACCATAAAAATGCTCATCGCAAGAAAACAGAAGACTGTATCAATGCCACTACCACGTACTTATTTGATCCAACTGGAATATCCGTCGTAAGTTTCTCGACAAGCGTACAAGATTACACACATAATCCAAAAGGATAAGTCTAAAAATTAACAAAACTCTTCATATTTGTTAAAATGCTAGACAGCTCTGTGCCGTGACCTCAGCAGTGAAGT